CATTTATTCTGTAATTTCCTAATATTCATAGCATGCCATGAAGCCCAAATGATTATATGTCCAGAAAAAAAGTAATATCATAATTTCACAAGAAAAAATGATCGCACAAGTTAAAAATCTTGACATGTTTGTTAATGTTAATTTTTAATGTTTGTTAAATGTATGTTAACGAGATGATTCAAACAACACATTAAGCATTTGTAGGAAGTCCCCTAAGCAGCAAGCCTCCAAAGGAGTGGACCAGTGTCATGTGTGTTAAACAGGGCGGACCTCTTCCGACGAAGGTTATTGAGAATTATGAACAGCATAAGTTTCAGGTTCAGTGTCCGCCCCAGGTCATATGTCTCCTTTGGATGATATATTACATTGAATTTGCATAATAAAAAGCTAGAAGCATTACGTGTTGAGAATTTTTTTTTTTTATTAACATTTCAGTTTTCTTGAATATTTTTCACTCCCCCCATAAATAGCCTAATTTTACAACTATGTATATAAATAGTTACATTTATTAACAATTATTTAATAATTACATTTATTAAACACAGTCAATGCATGTATAATTTGACAATGCAGGAGTGTCGTCCCTGAAGACTATTCTGAACAGTTTTTCAAGAACACCACAAAATATTTCCACACACACACAACACATTTATCAGTTGATGATGCAGAAACTTTTCTGTGTTTGTGATAAAGATAGACATGAGACTGTATATCTAATAGCACATCTATTTATAAATGAAATCCAGATGGGAAACTTTATCATTTACGCAGCAAGATCCCTCAAAGACATGGCATCACACACAAAACCCAGCTACGTCACAAACATTGTTCTTGAGTTGTTATCTCCATCATGAAAACCAACACACCAGAAGACATTATATTCTCTTACATAACACCATCTTTAGTGACACTTGCTAAGATCCGCATCACTAGTAATACTTGATTTGAACACACCCCAAACCATAAATGTTAAACTTCATTAAACTTTCGTCCTGCACCAGCTGGAAATCTATAATGATCAAATAAAACCAGATATTTCCAACAAGATCTTGACCAAAATGTATGCGCCTCTTGATGGAAATAACATCACAACATTTATTTACATCAAGAGGTGCATCAATTTTTGGTCAAGATCTTGTATTGACAATGCAAGAGTCCATCACTCTGTAAAGTCTAATGATTCTTCATTCTCCCTCCCAACAATTCTTTCACAAACTGAGCCTGATGAATCTTGACATTGTTATTCTGGAATATGGCCATGATGCATTCCTACACGGTTGTTTAAGAAATGAAAAGCTACACACTCCATCAATTAAGGTTAGACAAACTGGTGCCAAACATAAAAACATTACCACTTATCACTGCAATAATGATCCAGTAACAGACTCTTTAGCATTTGCCTATTTTAACCCAAACAGAGACTATTTTCTTGGCAGGGAAGTGTAGGTTTTTAAATTTTCTAAAGAAATTTTAAGTGGAGCTGCATGAAAAATTCCATCCTATCGCATATTGTTTTGGCTGTTATAGTCCACCAGGTGAAAAGTTTCATTTTAAAAGCAAACATCTGCACAAGAAGTCACCTGATTTGAGGCATCAAATCATCACAAACGTGCTGCACATCATAAGTTTAATACTTTTGGGTTAGTTTAATGATGTGAACTACAGTAGAAAATTGGCAAAACAACATATTCGGATAAACTAATGAAATAGTGAAATATTAGTCATTTTGGATAAAAGTGTCAGCCAAATTTATAAATATTAAAAAAATTCCTGCAGCATTTGGGCAGAATTAGACCTGTCATGTCTTACATGAACACACACACACACAAAAAGTTTTAAACGTGAGCAAAGTATCACTTCTCATAGAAAAGATTTGTCAAACACGTGTAAAACGATGATGACACCGATAATACATCCCACGGGAAAGAATCTTGATAACACCCACAATAGCAGGTAAATAAATACTTTTAGATTTTGTTTCTCAGAGAGAGCAAAGACATTAAATAGAGATGCCTCCTGTTCCTAATGTTTTTCATCAAGGCCCCAGTAATCTCACATGCTTCTATTAAAAATCAGTGGTTCTCAACTCCAGTTTTCGAGACCCACTGCTCTGCATATTGTTGTCTCCCTTATTTAACACACCTGATTCAGATCCTCAGCTCGTTAGGATAGACTCTATAGACCATTTCACAAGATATAAACAACACTGGTCCAGAAACACTTCCTGTTTCAGTTTGTAACTTTTTTCTTTATTTCACATGTAAAGAAAACATCTTAAAGATGTTTGTTTAACTTTTTGATTCAGTTTTAAATGTTCTGTTGGTTGTATTTTATCCCAGCTTTTATGTAGTGTTAAAAAACTGAAACTGGAAGTGCTTCTGGACCAGTGTTGTTTACATCTTGTGAAATGGTCTATAACCTGAACTGAGTGTGTCAGATAAGAGAGAGACTTGCTACTGCCAGTACATTCACAGGCATTGCTATGAGCACGTAAAACCCCAGTAGCAGATCTACACAGGTGGAGCTGGGGAAGATGGAGGGTTTCTTAAGTGCGCTGCATGCTAACAGCAACACTACCGATATTTGAATATTGAGCTGATGCAACAGCAACCAATCAGCTGCACTGTGTAGATGATGATGTGATCGCTACCGAATGAGTTAAAGACCTAAATCAGCCTGCACAATCTAGAGTTTCATGCCAGAACTTGGTATAAGTTTTCAATTTGTAACATTTCTCATAAATCTCTTCTATGACCAAAAGATCTGAGCTGCTATCAGACATTAATAATAGCAAAATTCAATAATCCCCATCTCGTTCTTTTCAGTTCTTTCTCCCAACGAATTTCAGCCAATACAGTCATCGAGGCAACTTCAAGTTTCTTGATCAACAAGCGGGCCTGTGTAATAAAGTTTCTTCTATATGCAACATATTCAACATTACTTAGATCCAGCCTAACCTTTGCTTTCAATCATGAAGGAGTGTTTCCTATACAAGTTCCCTCTCCGATGTGATTCGGTGCAGCTTCCACAGAAGACCTTAAAGAAACAAATGATTCTCTTTCACATTTCAGGCTCCACCTTTGTTACAGCAAAGAAAGCTTTACCATTAAGACACTGACCTTAACCACCATACAAAACAATTTGAGCTGGCTGGACACAGAGTTAGGTGTATGTTTCAGGCTCTGAAATGAAGTGGCAGATTCACTTTCCCTCATAGCTTCTTGCTTCAGGGTTCAGAGAGACACAGACAAAGACACGCTAATCTTTCATTATCTTTCTCAGCACATTCTGTTTTGGACGCGATGATGAAAGCTAAACATTCTGTTGCTTTCGTCATTCTCAACGCAGATCAGTAAACACTTGGAAGATCTCTTACGTTTTGAAGTAAAAAAGGCGTACTCTGGCTCTGGACATAATACCTTATAACATAATAAGAGATGTAGCATTAGCATGATAGCATTAGCATGATTTACCCAGATGTGAACAACTTCCCTACAGGAAATTGGAAGTTAAAGTCTCTAGATGAAAAAGAAAAGATTAAAAAAAATAGAACAAAAAGAACTGCTCCGATCCTAAAACATGAATGACAGAACGAATTATGTATAAAAAAAATATCTATAAAAATACAAAAAGGAGCGTTTTAATGATTTACAGAGTATTCTTTCAACATCTATAACTATATGATGTGGTTAAAAAAGATACATGGATTTAATGTTATTTAGTTACATTAAGTTATAGATAAGATATAAATGCAATGTTTTCAATTAAGTTTCATTTATTGTGAATTATATGAATTGGTGTGAATTATAGGCTAAAGTCATGTAAAAATGGATATTATTTTTCAGCTCCCACAGACCACACAAGTGATATAAATTCACATGTAACTTTTATAAGCAAATTTGCCTACTTTAGAAAAAAAAGTGTGATTTTTGTCTTTGGCTTCTATCATTTATATTAGCAATTACATAGCTTAACAGGGTTAAACGTTCATTAAAAAAAATAGCCTTACAAATAAGTAAAAACAAAACAAAAAAAGTCTCTCACGTAGCTGTGAAAGTTTTCTAGTTTTTAGAAATGCTTACTCATATTTGATATTAAAACATTGCAGTAAAAAAGGATAACTACACTAGCTACACTAAAACATATCTCCATTTACAGTATCAACATCTTTTCAGTTAATGTAACACTGTGAATCCAGTGACTGGTAACTGAATAACTAGAGTAAACGATTCAGTTCAATTGCAACATGTGAGTCAAATATGCACATTTGATTTCAATCATGTCATTTACTGAAAACATATTGGAAAGACCAACAAATTCAACATCATGATTAGAAAGGATAATATTAAATGAGAATTAAGGTGAAATGAGAGGGGAAAATGTGTGTTTGAAATCCAGTAATGTAATCGTTCTTTAACATTACACCAGATTGCTTGAGGCAGGCCATGCAGTACAAGGATGGGAATTTCATTCTCTCCATTATACTGAGCCTGTTTTCCTGAAACCTAATGACCAACAACCTATCCTATATCCTTTCCCACTCAAAAGTAATCCTAACACGCCAGTATGTTCTTCATTTGCGCACATGACGTTTTTCAAATAAAGTACATTTTAAAATGTAAGGCTGACCGTCTTAGAGAGAACTTCGAGTGAAATTTAGCTTCAAAGTTTGTGGTCTTAATGAGTCTAACAACAACCCTTAGACCCCCAGCCTAGCCCTTACCCATTAAAAACACAATCACACACACACGCACGCACACACACACACACACACACACACACACATACTCTCAGAGAGAGAGATACTTGGATGATGTCTTCAGCCCAGAGGCCTAATGTTAGTCATTAGGTTTCATCCACCTGTCCTCATTTTGGATGCACTGATTGGTTCTCACAGAGCAGGTATACTTGCCCATGCCACAAAAGATTTCAGATTTCTCCCCTTATTTGCAAGTGTATGTACCTTAACTTATTATTAGCACCTTACACATCAATCAGAGATGCATCTTCGAGGGACACTGTGCTTCTTTGTAACACTGTTTTCATTGACACAGGTATGTATCATATAATCTGTTCATGATTTATCATTCATATCATTTGAAAACCTTGTGCTTAAGTTGACTATCATATGTTTCTTTGTTCTAAGGTAAAAGAAGCTTCAGCAGGCAAGTATTTAATATAAATTAATAAAATATGTTACAACATTTGTAAATAACTATGTCTAATTATGTATCATAAGTTGTCTATTATAAGACACAACATTTTTAGTTTAATAATTAAACATAGCAAAAATAATGATGAGAAACTTTATAAATGGATTTACCTAAATATATTGCATTAATATACTATTATATTTTGAAAGGGACTCATAAGATACTAATTATTGTAATTTTTTGTCTCCTCCAGGCTGTGACATAACATCAGTAACATCACCCACTGCGTCGTCTCTCATTGTAAAATGGAGCACTTTTCCTGGAGCGACAAACTATGTTCTGGAGGTCAAGGCTGTGAATTCAAGCACAGCATCTGTTTCTATTCCACCACTCGCTCCGTCCACTGTGGAGAAACTGGTCCAAGGCTTAAGACCGGGACACATTTATCAAGTGACTTTTAAAGTGTTTCTGTTGAGTTATGTGACATGCATCAGCTCCCAGATGGCACAGACACGTAAGTCATCGACCCACACATATATGGCAAGCCGTTTAAGGTTAAAATGTTCCCAGTGTTACTCGCCGTAATTGAAATTTTACCAGTAAGAATTCAGTTAGAGAGCTCTACAATTCAATTCTTACTAGCAATTATGATTAGAGAGCTCTCTAATTCAATTATTTTTAGTAACAATTGAATTAAAGAGCTCTCTAATTGAATTATTTCTAGTAAAAGTAATTCTGGGAACATTTGAAAGCAGCACTATGTCGTTTTTTCAAACTTTAAATTATTTTTTCCAAAACCCTTGAGATGGTACATTGACTTGCAATAGGTTGAATGACAGGTCTGCCATAGCCTGACATGGTTTGCATCGCTTTTAGAGCCCAACGAGCGTTTTTGTTTGACCTCTGTATGTTGTCATGACTGAAGCAGCAAGTAAAACCAACTATGAAGTGCGTCAGAAACAGAGCGCGGGGGATCAGTTTACTGTTGGTAATGTGATGTGTAGCTTCACACCTCACCGCATCCAATGTAGACTGCATTGCTTTCTTTTGAGGGCGCTTAACACACTCCCCGCATCCCCGTAGCTCGAGACGTGAAAGTATACTAATTACTGAGTTTGGTAGGGGCTACATTCTTGCAAGTAAATAATACATGATTTACAGTCAGGATAACTATCCCTTGTCTGCAGGCTAATAGTCATGTTTGTTACTTATTTTTCTGGTGAAAGTGTCTTGCCTCAGGCTATAATACAAATCGATTTTTTAAATTTGCAAATTCATCTATGGTAGCTTGATATTATAATATTGACGACTTGGCTATCATCTACCAAACATTGAATTGAATTAGCATATTATGTAAAACAGTAGCCAAAAGGCTAACGTTACTATAAAGACGCTGGGAAACGTGAGCTTCGCGATCTTTTGAGTTTGAAAAAAATAAAGCCCATGACACTATATTCATAAGACATGCTGAAATAAATGCCAATGTACCTGGGATGAAGACATTTCATACGCAACGCATACGCAAGTTCGGTGGTATAGCTTGTCAACAAATGAACTGCTAGTTTAAACATGACAGGTTTTACGACAATAGTAGAAGACAATACTGTTTCCCAACTGTGGGGGGACCCCGAGAGCAAAATTTCAAAAATAAGAGAATGCTGCTTTAGCTAAAATGGCTTGCCATACACACATCTTGACAAATTGTTTTTATTCTGAACCCATGTAATTTACTGTGCTTTTTTAACTTGCAGTTCCCGCCACCTCGCAAATAATATTTTCGAAAGCAATATCGAGCACCTCGATCAGGTTTGACTGGTCCAGTGCGCAAGGAGCCGATAAATACTTTTTGATGGTGGAGGGAACTTTCCACAGTGAGACTCACAACCTCACATTCACCACTCTAAATGGACAGGTAAACAACCTCCGCAACAACACCGCATACAACTGTTACGTCTATTCCTCTAATGCCGCAGGAATCGGCGCCAAGAGTCTTGTTAAAACCATCAGAACATGTAAGTCTACTCGGTTCTTCCCAGTTTTGCGCTATTTAAATGCTGTCAATGCAATCTTAACTTTCACATCATTGTCTTGTTTTACAGTGGTGCAGCCTCCAGATGGCGTGAGTGTGAGCGAGTTAACTTCGAGTATGGCTCGCGTATCATGGTTCAGCGTCCCAGGCGTCCTGCTCTACCAGGTTTCAGTCACAGCCAGTAATAAGCCGGGAACTGGCCCTGTTCTTAGGAACGTCACCAGCACCGCTGTGAATATCTCAAGCTTGGAGCCATGTTCAACATACACAATAGGGGTTGCATCAGTCAACATGTTCCTAGAACCAGGAGACCCTAAAAACATCAGCTACACAACTGCCAGTGAGTCGCACCTGCATAAGGATGAAGCAGAGTGAAACGTTTGAATGAAACCAATTAAAGGGATACTCCACTTTTTTTGGAAATAGGCTCATTTTACCACTCCCCCAGAGTTAAACAGTCGAGTTTTACCGTTTTTGAATTTATTCAGCGGATTTTCTTTTATTTAGAAGAATATCTGTAACCAGACCATTTCTGGTCTCATTGACTTCCATAGTAGGAAAAAAAATATATACTATGGAAGTCAATGAGACCAGAAAATGTCTGCTTACTGATATTCTTCTAAATATCAGAAAATCGACTGAAGGGTTTCGAAAACGGTAAAACTCGACTGTTTAACTCTGGGGGAGTGGTAAAATGAGCCTATTTCCAAAAAAAGTGGTGTATCCCTTTAAGATAAAGCAATAGATTACTGCACTGGGGTGTTTTGAATGCTTCTAGTCTAGCCTTTCTACAAGAAAGAGGACATTTTCTAGACCAGAACCAAGACTGAACATAAACCAGAGCTGGTGTTTTCAGCATCTGGATTTGCCGAACTCTAACATGTCACTTGTTGTTCTTCTCAGCCATTTCAACAGTTTCCTCCATCTCTGTGGAGTACAGCTGCACTACCGCTATGGCATCGGTTAGTTGGGTTGCAGTGTTTGGTGCCATGTCGTACCGTGCAGTCATAACAGATGGCCAAGGACAGTCGCTTAACTGCACATCCACGGGCACAGCCTGCCAGATCCCAATGCTGAATTGTGGAGAACTATACTCCGTACGGATTATAGCCATTGCTAACTGTGAAAGCTCCTCCGACGGCAGCTACATCTTTGAGACAGGTAAAGATGCCCTCTCTCAAAGGTCACGCTCACACCTGATTCAGTCCTCTGGGAGATGAGCAGGAAATCCTCTCACGGTGTAAGAAGTCTGAGAAGGAACACACCCAGGAATTATGTAGATTAAATGAGCTCTAGAGTCTATTGAGGCCGAGATTTAATGGAAGGTTGTGTGGTATCAGGTGGCAGGATTGTTCTAGTTACTGTGTCAGTCTAAGCCCCTAAGTTAGTAAATCTACCTTCCTTCTCTAAGGTTGTCTTTCTCAGGTTGTATTTTTATCTGCTCCCAGGCCCTGTTTACACCTGGAATTAAAATGCGTTTTGGTCGTCCACTTGTGATCTGATCGAACAACACACATCTTAATACCCGGTGTAAACAGGGCCTCAGTCTCTCTCCAAAAGGTTCACTCAGAATGATTATTCTGTCATCAATTACTCGCCTTGATGTCATTCTAAACTTGTATGACTTACTTTCTTCTGCAAAGCACAAAAGTGTGTTTTGTCCATACAATTAAAGTCAATGGGGTTCAATGTTGTTTGTTTTGGACCCCATTGACTTTCATTGTATGGACAAAAAAAAAAATTCTTTTAAATATCTGCCTCAGTGCAATCCGTAGAAAGTTGCACAGGTTTTGAACGAACTGATGGTGTGTAGTTGGTAATGATTCACATTTATCCTTTTAAACCGAAAAGGAATTGGATGTTTTATCAGCAAATTCATTTCTCTCCCCATCTCTCAAACAAACACACAGCACCCTGCCCACCCAAAAAACCGCGGCTGTTCCGTGAGTGTTCCAGTAACGTCATCGTGTTTTCGTGGAATGCCACCAACAGCACGGCTTATTATCACGCCCTGGCTATTGACTCGGGCGACCATGTAACCGATTGCATCACTGTTGACACCTCCTGTTACTTCACCGACACTGTCTGTGGCGAAAGCTACAGGTTCTACGTCAAATCCATCTACTCCGGAGGACTAGACTGCGACAGCGGAAACACAGAAGAAGTGGTGGTCAACACAGGTGAGCTATTGGCAAAAATCTGTAAATATTTCATTTTTTCCTGATACGACAACATATGAATATTGTAATAAACGTGCTATTGATGCATTAGAATGAGAGAAGCATAATTCTGCAGTTTGTCTGTTTATTTTCAACCCTTACATTGTGTGTTAAAAATCCTGTAACAGCTTTGGTATTCCCAGTCAATCAACCAGCCTTTAAAAACTTTCTTCTTTCTTTTTAATTAAGGCAGGTTTGAATTTCTTTTTTCAGAAAAAGTCATTGATTGTCATTGATATTGTCTACTTTTTTTTCTTTCAATTAGGAGAGGTTTTGTATTTATTTTTTAAACTGACTGATTGGAGGCCTCATTGATCTGAGGAGAAAGTTCATCCCTGTGAAAAAAAGAGCCTGTAATACTTAAAAGAGTTTGTTTGTGTACATGAACGTGTGTGTGTGCATGTATCTACGCAAACACAGGTCCGAGGCATTTATCTTTGCAACCTCACATCATGTAAATATGTGAACATGAACGTGCTCCAGATTTTCGATCTCCCCCATTCATTTTTAATGGATGGTTATTTTTGACCAATATAAGCTCAGATCAATAAGGCCTACAAAATAAACACAAAACCTGTCCTAATTGAAAGAAAACAAATTGATAAAATTATTCAATCTAAAATTTGTTGATAGTATAGCATAACAAGAGATTTATAAGCTTTTTTTGTAGGCCGGTCATTTTCGATTGGCAACCACCCAAGTGTAACAAGGTCTGGGGGGGAAATCTCCAAAAAGTAAACAAATAAAAAATATCCCCCAAAAGTTGGGAAATAGTTATACCCGTTAACTAACATTTTCGGGAATAAGAAAATGCTCTCCGGGTTAAAATGACCCGAACACACTGGTTAAAAGACAATTAATATTCAGTTCTATTATCGATACTATTGGATGAGAACAAAATTTGAACTGAAATGAGCTGAATAATGACACTAATATCTTCTGCAGAGCTGCCTTTAGCCGAACTGGACTAGTCAATCATAATTGATGATATTTTACAAGACTTATTTTCCTGTTAATTACTGGGAAGCTGCTTTGACACAATCTACATTGTATAAAGTGCTACTGTATGTAAATAAATGTAACTTCAGTTGTTTTAAGGATCATTTTTAATTCTGGCCCTCTCTGTCACCATACACCTTTAGCTCCATGTTTGCCACAGAACGTCCGCACAACTACAAACTGTAATAACATCGGCAGTGCCGTCACTTCTTGGGACGGGCCTGAAGGAGCCCAAACCTACACTGTGGAGGCCCGCGGTAATCGTAGAGATTTTTACAACTGTACGTCTCAAAACACGAGCTGCACACTAACAGGGCTGGAATGTGGAGAGAGCCTGAGCGTGTGGATTGTTTCGACTGATGGTGACTGTACTACTGATCCTGTGCTGGGAGAGGTGGCAGATACAGGTTAGCATGTGTACATACAGATGCATTTTGGGTAATGTGAATTATTGCAATGTAGTACAATGGTATATGAACATGCCCTTACAAAAAAAAAAAAAATATATATATATATATATATCATTGCATGAAATGGGATGTTAATACTCCTTATCTTCCACGTAGTTCCCTGCATTCCTCAGAATGTGTCCGCTGTGGAGACTTGTAGTTCAGACACTGCCTCAATCACATGGCTCTCTAGCAACGGTGCCATCTTCTACATCGGAATGGCGACACATGCGGATGGAACAGTTCACACCTGCACTGCCATGATGACAGAGTGCTCATTCCAAAACCTGAAATGCGGCGAGACGTATGATGCGTTTGTCCTAGCAACTAACCTGCAATGCAACAGCTCTGAGAGTCAACATGTCCTCCTACAGACGGGTAGGTGCAAAAAACAAACAAACAGGCAAATAAAAGGTACCTGATGATTAAAATGTCAAATATCAAGTCAATATATATATATATATATATATAATAAAGGAAATGAAGGGCAGAGTGAATAAATACATTTAAATTAAAAAATTAAAAGTTGTCATATTTAAAGCGTAAAGTAAACTTAAAATAAGAGCATGAAGACAAAGTTCCATTTTTTTAATGTAAAATAAAACAAATATATAAAACAGAAAATAAAACGGGATGAAAAAAGAGAACAGATTTTTTTATATATATTTAAAACAAAAAAAAAAATAATGTAAAACAAAAAAATGAATAAAAATACCAAGATATTTAATAGGTAAAATGTAAAAAAAAAGAAAAAAAAGAATATGAATAAAAGGGCTCAGATATTAAAAATAAATTTATCAATATACATCTAGTTTATTTATAAATTAATGTAAAATCTAATATATATATATATATATATATATATATATATAAGCTAGTTAAGGTTCCATATATGTAAAAATGTATAAAAATTAAAAAGGTTTTAGTAAGAGGGTGAAAAAGGGCCATATATTTAAAATGTAAATAATAATGCGAAATAAAACATAAAAGGGGATGAATAAAAGGGTCAAGATATTTAAAACGTAAAATAAAAAAATATATAACCATTAAAAATAAAAATGGATTAAATAAAAGCGGCCAGATATTTAAAGTAATGCAACATAATAACAAAAAAGTAAAATAAAAGCAGATTATTAAAATATTATGTTAAATGTGTATTATGTTTATGTTATATTGATATAACATTATATTATGTATATGTTATACATAAAATATTATGTTTATGTTTTCATAAAAAAGCTGTCCTTATGAAGGTAAAGCAAATGAATTTCTGGTGCACAAAGCAAATCTCCTACATTCTGCTTTGTAGCCCCATGTGCTCCAGTCAGCGTGGAGGTCTCCAGAGACTGTGCAGGGAATCGTGCGACAGTGATCTGGCAGAGCCTTCAGGCTGGGGGTTTGTACACAGCAGTACTGCAGGGTGAACATGGAGTCACGGTTAACTGCAGCACCAGCTTTAACAACTGCACAGTAGACCTGCTCTGCGGAGTCAACTACAACGTCACAGTCTCAAAGAATGATGGTCACTGCAGGAGTCAGCTGTCCACACCCATTCAGATACAGTCAGGTAACAGTCATCTGAGCATGCACACATTTCCAAACAGTAACAGATCTTTGAAGCTGACTATGTATCTCCTTTAGCTCCCTGTGACCCTCAAAATGTCACAACTGTGCTCCAGTGTGACACCAACGCGGCTATCGTGACATGGGCTGCCAGCGCAGAAGCTAATGGGTACACGGCAATAGCAACAGATGGGCAGCAGCAACGCTTAGCTTCTTGTCACACGATGGGGACTTCCTGTCAGCTGACCTCTCTGCCATGTGGGATGAGACTGAATGTGACTGTCCAAGCTGATGGAGCGTCCTGCAACAGCAGCTCTCAACCTAAAACTGCAGTGGTAACAGGTGTCTGCTCATGCTAACTTTTGCTGATTCAAATTAGTCATAACAACATTGTGTGTAGAGAAAATTATAACATGAAGTGGCCCTAAAATGTATATGAATTTCAATGCATTCGATTCAATCAGCATTTTCTCAAAACTAACTTTACTTTTCACCCTTTTTTAAAACAAATATTAAATATATAATGTTCATCACATTAACAATGTACATAAACCCAGTAAACAATGTTTGATAACCACAAAGAAATACCTGGTAATTACTGTTATTTCATGACATTCATTCATTTTACCAATTACGTTTTGGGGCCACATGTATTACAAACAAACATAAATAATATTCAAAAGTTTGGGGTGAGCACTGTTAGACCTTACCAGGTTTTTTACAGTAAAATACTGGCAACACTGTTGCCAGTAATTTACTGTAAAAATGCACTAAAACTAATAAGTTGTATTTTTTAGTTAACTTGAGTTTTAGTGCATTTTTACAGTAAATTACTTGCCAGTAATTTACTGTAAAAAACCTGGTAAGGTCTAACAGTGAGTTTGCTTTTAAAGAAATTAATATTTTTATTCAGCAAGGACACACTTAATTGATCAAAAATAATGATGCTGAAAATTCACAGGAATAAATTACAAATTATGAAAAAAAAATTAAATGTAATAATATTTCACAATGTTATAGCTTTTGTGGTATTTTTGATCAAATAAATGCAGCCTTGGTAAGCATGACAGATATATTTCTAAAACATTTTTTAAACTGTTTTCAACAGTAAGAACTTTTTTTTATTTCAATTAAAATTTTTAAATGTAGCCTAATTATTTTAATACAGCTTCCTCTTCTCCCTTATCTAGCTCCCTGCATTCCCACCCATGTCACTGCTGCTCTAAACTGTACCTCCAACATTGCTTCCATCACCTGGGACAGTGCACTCGGTGCCACTTGGTACTCGGTAAAGGCAGAAGGCAGCCAAGGGTACAAAGCATCCTGCAATAACACAATCACACGCTGTGATATCCCAAACCTGCCATGTGGCCAGCAATATTCCATCACAGTCATGGGCAGGAATGGGGACTGCATGAGCCCGGCTAGCCAGCCTACCACTCTTGTCTCAGGTACTTAAACTCAGATCATAAGGGTTGGGAGCCACAAGCCATTAAGAACCTCCCTAGCTATCTCCCAGCTAACATATAGCAACATCCTAACAGTTTTTTCATGACAAGCAGCGTACTGCAGTTTGATGAATTAACTTTTTTTATATGTTGCAGCACCATGTCCTAATACTGGCATTCAAGCCAGACTGGATTGCCGCACCAACTCAGCACTCATTTCTTGGACACCGGGCAATGGTACAGTAAGTTCCAATGCAACTCTGCAGTCTTTCCAGGACGCCCAAAAGCACAGCTGCTTCACCAACGGCTCCTCATGCAACATCAGCTCACTTCAGTGTGGTCAGCACTACAACATCAGTGTTACAGGATACGGCCAGAACTGTTCAACCTGTTCTAAACCCCTGGTCACTCTAGACACAGGTATAACATTAAACAATAATTCAGTGCAGTTAGCGTAGAGCCTAATTTAAACCCTTTCTAAATGGCATCCGATAAACTATTGCGCTAAAATGTTGAGCATCACATCATTTGAATCTTTTCTTTCCAGCTCCATGTGTTCCCACTCAAGTCAATGTGTCAATATCCTGTGGGTCTGACACTGCGTCGGTTTCCTGGGCAGCATCTAGTGGCCTTGTTTCCAACTATATAGTAACAGCTGAAGGTGATAATGGAATTACGCACACATGCAACTCCAGCAGCACTTCCTGTAACATCAGCGGCCTGGCGTGTGGTCAGGCGTACAACGTGTCAGTCACAGCTATGAGCGTCGACTGCACTGGGCAACGTAGCGAAGTGCGTCGTGTCAAAACTGGTAAGTATTTCATCTACAGTATAACCTTACAATCGTTTAGCTAAACTCATCATCCATCTGACTGGTGGAGAATTTTGCACACTACAAGTTTGTCTAGTGTTTAATGCAGGACTTTTAAACTATATTTTGTAGTGGTTTGCTATACTTAAAGTTTGAATTGTTTCTTAAAGTCCCCCTGTAGTCAATCATTTTATCCCTTAAAACTCATCTTTGATCACCCAAATTATATATATTTAAAAAGAAATTCTTGAAAACAATGTCTTCATGTCTAAAAATAGCTTAAAATGTAGCTCTACACCTTTGCCTCATTTAGTATATGCGGATCTATGAATATGTAAATTAGCCCCGCCTCCACTCACTAGAACCAGCTCAACCACTCGTTGACGATCACACCTTGATGTGATTGGATACATGCTAGTTTGTGATGTCAGAAACACCAGCGATTTCACACCGCGTTTTTGTGACTGTCTTTGTTTCACTGCAGTTTTAAGGAGAAAAAACTCAGCAATGGTGTCGACTTATTAATTTCCTCATGATTTGTCTTAAAGCATATAAAAAAAACACCACATAGACATATAAACAATATTAAAATCTTGATTTTCCACCACTGGGGGAGTTTAAAAGCATTACACATTAAAATATTATACATTAAAAGGCACAATTTAAAAACTTGATTGATATGTAGCATTCAAGTAAACAGTACAGCCTTGACAAAAATAATAAACTTCGCATTTAATCCCTCCAGCATACTTGTCTGCTACCCAGCAAAAAAATATTATTTGTTTCATGAACAAAATTACTTCATGTGTTTTGGTTCCCAAAATATAACCGAAAGGAAACCATATACTAACATTCGGGGAACCTTAGGGGAATGTGTTTTCTGACATCAAATGTACGTGGGTTAACGCAACTGTGTTTCTTATTCATTTTTATAAACACTGTTTTCTGAGGAAACGCTGTTTTCTATTAAGAAAACTTTAAGTGTGTATCCAGAATATTCCTTTAAAAACATGCTAAATTATTTTTTGTTTAACTCTTGTCTCCCAGCACCCTGTGCTCCTCAGTCTGTGGTCAGTCAGCTCTTAGACTGCCAAACAGGGGATGTTCAAGTAAGCTGGCAGTCGAGTAACGGGGCGCAGATCTACTATGCTCAAGCTAAATCAACTGACAAGGTTCTGGCGTGTAACTCCACCTCCACATCCTGCGTAATCGCTGCAATTGGCTGTGGACAGACATACAATATCACTGTGTCTGCAGAGGGCAACGGCTGTCGCTCCAACAGTGTGACCAGTCAGGTCACGGCAGGTGCAGTAGCATTTTGACAAAGTTGATGGCTACCATTCCAAATAATGAGTCCTAACAATTCAATATCTATATATTTAAAGTCAACATGAAATCAAAATCAACTTTATATTACACAGTCCTGATCTTACTTTGCGCACTTCTTTAGTGCATGTTAGAAAAAGTCTATTCTTTCATCACAATTAAACAGCAGTCCAGTGAAATCCATTTCAAACACACAGAAGCCATATCAACATCCTAGCACCACGTTACATATTTCACCTTTAAATACTATTCTTATCTTTTCTCTTCAGCCCCATGCCCTCCACTGAATATCCAGTCCAGAATGAACTGTGGAAACAACTCAGCGAGTGTGTCCTGGTCCCGTGGCAATGGAGAACTGTCCTTTTTGACAACACTTGAATGCTCTAATGGACAGACGTATTTGTGCAGGACCAATGAAACAGGATGTGACATCACTAACATGATGTGTGGACAAACTTGCTCGGTTAAATTAGTGGCAGAGGGACGTTCATGTAACAGCTCTGTACGCACTGGATCACCAATCATAACAGGTAAGAGAAATAGCTGCTTAAATCAAACCTTATTATATTGAATTTATGATTTACACTACAGATCAAAAATCTGTGACCAGTAAAAATTTTTTAAAAGGAATTAAAAATGTTATTTAGCAAGGATGCATTATTTAAGTGACAGTAAATACATTAATAATTTTACAAAATATTTATTTTTTAAAATAAATACTCTTTTGAACTTTCTATTTATCAAACATCCTGATCTTTTTTTTTTTTTACTGTTTTTAACAGCCAACCATATTCTAACTTGGTTTTATATATTATTAAAACCAAATTATTTACGCAGCTCCTTGTGTACCACCAAACCACATAAATGTGCCGTAGAAGCCACTTAGAACATCTTAGCAACCATGTGGCAACACCTTGACAACCATCCATCCACCATGTAAAAATACAGTTTTGCAACAGCATTTTGATGTGTTATCAATTTGTCATGTTGCAGCACCATGTCCTAATACTGGCATTCAAGCCAGACTGGATTGCCGCACCAACTCAGCACTCATTTCTTGGACACCGGGCAATGGTACACTAAGTTCCAATGCAACACTGCAGTCTTTCCAGGACGCCCAAAAGCACAGCTGCTTCACCAACGGCTCCTCATGCAACATCAGCTCACTTCAGTGTGGTCAGCACTACAACATCAGTGTTACAGGATACGGCCAGAACTGTTCAACCTGTTCTAAACCCCTGGTCACTCTAGACACAGGTATAACATTTAACAATAATTCAAAGAGCAATAAGCGTAGAGCCTAATTTAAACCCTTTCTAAATGTCATCAAATCATCTATTGTGCTAAAATGTTGAGCATCACATCATTTGAATCTTTTCTTTCCAGCTCCATGTGTTCCCACTCAAGTCAATGTGTCAATATCCTGTGGGTCTGAAACTGCGTCGGTTTCCTGGGCAGCATCTAGTGGCCTTGTTTCCAACTATATAGTAACAGCTGAAGGTGATAATGGAATTACGCACACATGCAACTCCAGCAGCACTTCCTGTAACATCAGCGGCCTGGCGTGTGGTCAGGCGTACAACGTGTCAGTCACAGCTATGAGCGTCGACTGCACTGGGCAACGTAGCGAAGTGCGTCGTGTCCAAACTGGTAAGTATTTCATCTACAGTATAACCTTACAATCGTTTAGCTAAACTCATCATCCATCTGACTGGTGGAGAATTTTGCACACTACAAGTTTGTCTAGTGTTTAATGCAGGACTTTTAAACTATATTTTGTAGTGGTTTGCTATACTTAAAGTTTGAATTGTTTCTTAAAGTCCCCCTGTAGTCAATCATTTTATCCCTTAAAACTCATCTTTGATCACCCAAATTATATATATTTAAAAAGAAATTCTTGAAAACAATGTCTTCATGTCTAAAAATAGCTTAAAATGTAGCTCTACACCTTTGCCTCATTTAGTATATGCGGATCTATGAATATGTAAATTAGCCCCGCCTCCACTCACTAGAACCAGCTCAACCACTCGTTGACGATCACACCTTGATTTGATTGGATACATGCTAGTTTGTGATGTCAGAAACACCAGCGATTTCACACCGCGTTTTTGTGACTGTCTTTGTTTCACTGCAGTTTTAAGGAGAAAAAACTCAGCAATGGTGTCGACTTATTAATTTCCTCATGATTTGTCTTAAAGCATATAAAAAAAACACCACATAGACATATAAACAATATTAAAATCTTGATTTTCCACCACTGGGGGAGTTTAAAAGCATTACACATTAAAATATTATACATTAAAAGGCACAATTTAAAAACTTGATAGATGTGTAGCATTCAAGTAAACAGTACAGCCTTGACAAAAATAATAAACTTCGCATTTAATCCCTCCAGCATACTTGTCTGCTACCCAGCAAAAAAATATTATTTGTTTCATGAACAAAATTACTTCATGTGTTTTGGTTCCCAAAATATAACCGAAAGGAAACCATATACTAACATTCGGGGAACCTTAGGGGAATGTGTTTTCTGACATCAAATGTACGTGGGTTAACGCAACTGTGTTTCTTATTCATTTTTATAAACACTGTTTTCTGAGGAAACGCTGTTTTCTATTAAGAAAACTTTAAGTGTGTATCCAGAATATTCCTTTAAAAACATGCTAAATTATTTTTTGTTTAACTCTTGTCTCCCAGCACCCTGTGCTCCTCAGTCTGTGGTCAGTCAGCTCTTAGACTGCCAAACAGGGGATGTTCAAGTAAGCTGGCAGTCGAGTAACGGGGCGCAGATCTACTATGCTCAAGCTAAATCAACTGACAAGGTTCTGGCGTGTAACTCCACCTCCACATCCTGCGTAATCGCTGCAATTGGCTGTGGACAGACATACAATATCACTGTGTCTGCAGAGGGCAACGGCTGTCGCTCCAACAGTGTGACCAGTCAGGTCACGGCAGGTGCAGTAGCATTTTGACAAAGTTGATGGCTACAATTCTAAATAATGAGTCCTAACAATTCAATATCTATATATTTAAAGTCAACATGAAATCAAAATCAACTTTATATTACACAGTCCTGATCTTACTTTGCGCACTTCTTTAGTGCATGTTAGAAAAAGTCTATTCTTTCATCACAATTAAACAGCAGTCCAGTGAAATCCATTTCAAACACACAGAAGCCATATCAACATCCTAGCACCACGTTACATATTTCACCTTTAAATACTATTCTTATCTTTTCTCTTCAGCCCCATGCCCTCCACTGAATATCCAGTCCAGAATGAACTGTGGAAACAACTCAGCGAGTGTGTCCTGGTCCCGTGGCAATGGAGAACTGTCCTTTTTGACAACACTTGAATGCTCTAATGGACAGACGTATTTGTGCAGGACCAATGAAACAGGATGTGACATCACTAACATGATGTGTGGACAAACTTGCTCGGTTAAATTAGTGGCAGAGGGACGTTCATGTAACAGCTCTGTACGCACTGGATCACCAATCATAACAGGTAAGAGAAATAGCTGCTTAAATCAAACCTTATTATATTGAATTTATGATTTACACTACAGATCAAAAATCTGTGACCAGTAAAAATTTTTTAAAAGGAATTAAAAATGTTATTTAGCAAGGATGCATTATTTAAGTGACAGTAAATACATTAATAATTTTACAAAATATTTATTTTTTAAAATAAATACTCTTTTGAACTTTCTATTTATCAAACATCCTGATCTTTTTTTTTTTTACTGTTTTTAACAGCCAACCATATTCTAACTTGGTTTTATATATTATTAAAACCAAATTATTTACGCAGCTCCTTGTGTACCACCAAACCACATAAATGTGCCGTAGAAGCCACTTAGAACATCTTAGCAACCATGTGGCAACACCTTGACAACCATCCATCCACCATGTAAAAATACAGTTTTGCAACAGCATTTTGATGTGTTATCAATTTGTCATGTTGCAGCACCATGTCCTAATACTGGCATTCAAGCCAGACTGGATTGCCGCACCAACTCAGCACTCATTTCTTGGACACCGGGCAATGGTACACTAAGTTCCAATGCAACACTGCAGTCTTTCCAGGACGCCCAAAAGCACAGCTGCTTCACCAACGGCTCCTCATGCAACATCAGCTCACTTCAGTGTGGTCAGCACTACAACATCAGTGTTACAGGATACGGCCAGAACTGTTCAACCTGTTCTAAACCCCTGGTCACTCTAGACACAGGTATAACATTTAACAATAATTCAGTGCAATTAGCGTAGAGCCTAATTTAAACCCTTTCTAAATGGTATCCGATAAACTATTGCGCTAAAATGTAGTGTATCACATCATTTGAATCTTTTCTTTCCAGCTCCATGTGTTCCCACTCAAGTCAATGTGTCATTATCCTGTGGGTCTGAAACTGCGTCGGTTTCCTGGGCAGCATCTAGTGGCCTTGTTTCCAACTATATAGTAACAGCTGAAGGTGATAATGGAATTACGCACACATGCAACTCCAGCAGCACTTCCTGTAACATCAGCGGCCTGGCGTGTGGTCAGGTGTACAACGTGTCAGTCACAGCTATGAGCGTCGACTGCACTGGGCAACGTAGCGAAGTGCGTCGTGTCAATACTGGTAAGTATTTCATCTTCTTATAATCATTTAGCTATACTCATCATCCATCTGACTACCCGGGGCTGGGGCTCGTATGCAAGTGCCTGGTGGCCAGGCCTCACCACCTGCAGGAAGAGCCGTAAGGGGCAGATGCAGAGAGGATCGGGCGGCAGTCGAAGGCGGGGGCGTCGAAGGCCCAATCCCATGACATGGAAACTAGCCTTCGGGACGTGGAACATCACCTCGCTGGCGGGGAAGGAGCTTGAGATTGTGCATGAGGTTGAGAGGTTCCGACTAGAGATAGTCGGGATCACCTCTACGCATGGCTTGGGCTCTGGAACCACACTCCTTGAGAGAGGATGGACTCTTCACCACTCTAGAGTTGCCCATGGTGAGAGGCGACGGGCTGGTGTGGGTTTGCTCATGGCCCCCCAGTTCAGCCGCCATGTATTGGAGTTTCCCCCGGTGAACGAGAGGGTTGTTTCCCTGCGCTTACGGGTCAGGGATAGGTCTCTCACTGTCGTGTGTGCCTATGGGCCAAACGGCAGTGCAGAGTACCCGGCCTTCTTGGGGTCTCTGGGAGGAGTGCTTTAAAGTGTTCCAACTGGGGACTCTGTCGTTCTACTGGGGGATTTAAACGCTTACGTGGGCAACGACAGTGAAACCCGGAGTGGCCTGATTGGGAGGAACGGCCCACCCGACCTGAACCCGAGCGATGTTCAGTTATTGGACTTCTGTGCTAGTTACAGTTTTTCCATAACGAACACCATGTTTAAGCATAAGGATGTCCACCAGTGTACGTGGCACCAGGACACCCTAGGTCGATGATAGACTTTGTGATCGTTTCATCTGACCTGCGGCCGTATGTCTTGGACACTTGGGTAAAGACAGGGGCGGAGCTGTCAACTGATCACCACCTGGTGGTGAGTTGGATCCGATGGCGGGGGAGGAGGCTGGACAGTCTCGGCAGACCCAAGCGTATTGTAAGGGTTTGCTGGGAACGTTTGGCCAAGTCTCCTGTCAGAGAGATCTTCAACTCCCACCTCCGGCGGAGCCACGACCAGATCCCGAGGGAGGCTGGAGATATTGAGTCTGAGTAGACCATGGTCTCCACCTCAATTGTTGAAGCGGCTGCTCGGTGCTGTGGCCGTAAGGTCTCCGGTTCCTGTCGAGTCGGCAATCCCCGAACCCGGTGGTAGACACCTGAAGTAAAGGATGCCTTCAAGCTGAAGAAGGAGTCCTATTGGGCCTGGTTGGCTTGTGGGACTCCTGAGGCTGCTGACAGGTACCAGAAAGCCAAGCGGACTGCAGCCTGGGTGGTTGTGGAGGCAAAAACTCGGGCCTGGGAGGAGGAGGAGTTTGGTGAGGCCATGGAAAAGAATCGGCTGGCCTCGAAGAGGTTCTGGGAAACTGTCCGGCGCCTCAGGAGCGGGAAACAATGCCCTACCAATGCTGTTTACAGTGGAGGTGGGCGGCTGTTGACCTCAACTGGGGATATCGTCGGGTGGAGGAAGGAATATTTCGAGGATCTCTTCAATCCTGCTGTCACGTTTTCTACTGTGGAAGCAGAGGCTGAGGGCTCAGAGGTGGACTCGGGTAGTCAAGAAACTCCTCGGTGGCAAGGCACCGGGTGTGGATGACATCCGCCCTGAATACCTCAAGTCTCTGGATGTTGTGGGGATGTCTTGGCGGACACGCCTCTGCAGCATTGAGTTGTGGTCAGGGACAGTGCCTCTGGGATGGCAGACCAGGGTGGTGGTCCCTCTTTTTAAGAAGGGGGACCGGAGGGTGTGTTCCAACTACAGGGGGATTACACTTCTCAGCCTCCCTAGGAAAATATATGTCAGGGTACTATATAGGAGAACATGGCCGATAGTGGAACCTCGGATTCACTTGGAACAGTGCGGTTTTCGTCCAGGCCGTGGAACACGGGACCAGCTCTATACTCTCTACAGGGTGCTTGAGGGTTCATGGGAGTTTGCCCAACCAGTCCACATGTGCTTTGTGGATTTGGAGAGGGCATTCGACTGTCTCTCGCGGCGGCCTGTGGAGGGTGCTCCGGGTGTAAGTGGTCCGGGGTCCTTTCCTAAGGGCTGTCCGGTCCCTGTATGACTGAAGCAGGAGCTTGGTTCACATTGCCGGTAGTAAGTCAGACTTCTTCCCAGTACATGTTGGACTCTGACAGGGCTGCCCTTTGTTGCCGGTTCTGTTCATAATTTTTATGGACAGAATTTCTAGGCGCAGCCAGGGGCCGGAGGGTGTCAGGTTTGGGGACCACACGATTTCGTCTCTGCTTTTTGCGGATGATGTTGTCGTGTTGGCCTCTTCACATCAGGATCTTCAGCATGCACTGGGACGGTTTGCAGCCGAGTGTAAAGCGGCTGGGATGAAAATCAGCACCTCTAAATCCGAGGCCATCCGGAAAAGGGTGGCTTGCTCACTTCAGGTTGGAGGAGAGATCCTTCCTCAAGTGAAGGAGTTTAAGTGTGAGGGGTTTTGTTCACGAGTGAGGGAAGGATGGAATGGGAGATTGACAGATGGATCGGTGCAGCTTCTGCAGTAATGCGGTCGATGTACCGGTCTGTTGTGGTGAAGAAGTAGCTGAGCCGTAAGGCAAAGCTTTCGATTTACCGGTCAATCTACGTTCCTACTCTCACCTATGGTCATGAGCTTTGGGTCATGACCGAAAGGACAAGATCCCGGATACAGGCGGCCGAAATTAGCTTTCTCCGCAGGCTTGCTAGGCGATCCCTTGGAGATAGGGTTAGAAGCTCGGTCACTCGGGAGGAGCTCAGAGTAGAGCCGCTGCTCCTCCACATCGAGAGGGGTCAGCTGAGGCGGCTCGGGCATCTGTTTCGGATGCCTCTTGAACTGCTTCCCAGGGAGGTTTTCCTGGCATGTCCCACTGGGAGGAGACCCCGGGGAAGACCTAGGACACGCTGGAGAGACTATGTCTCCCGGCTGGCCTGGGAACGCCTCGGTGTCCCCCCGTAAGAGCTGAAGGAAGTGTCTATGGAGAAGGAAGTCTGGGCATCTCTGCTTAGACTGCTGCCCCCGCGACCCGGCCCCAGATAAGCGGAAGAAGATGGATAGATGGATTTTTGAAAAAAAATGTCTTCATGCCTTAAAATTGAGCTCTACACCCTTGCCTCATTTAGTATATGCAGATCTATGAATATGTAAATCAGCCCCACCTCCACTCACTCGAACCAGCTCAACCACTTGTTGACAACAACAGCTTGATGTGATTGGTTACATGTTAGTTTGTGATGTCAGAAACACCAGCGATTTCACACCGCGTTTTTGAGATTGTCTTTGTTTCACTGCAGTTTTAAACTCTGCAAAAACTCTACAATTGTGTCAAATGATGAATTTCCTCATGATTTGTCTTAAAGCATATTTTTACAAAAAACACCACATTGACATATAAACAATATTAAAAGCTTGATTTTCCCAACAGGGGGAGTTTAAGAGCATTACACATTAAAATTAACACTTTAAAACCTTTTGATGGATGTGTAGCATTCAAGTAAACAGTACAGCCTTGACAAAAATAATAAACTTCACATTTAATCCCTCCAGCTTACTTGTCTGCTACCCAGCAAAAAAATCTTTGTTCCATGAACATTCCGACAAAGTTTTGGTTCCCAAAAAATAACCGAAATCAAACCATATACTAACACTAGGGGAACATTAGGGGAATGTGTTTTCTGACATCTAATGTACGGGGGTTAACGCAACTGTGTTTCTTATTCATTTTTATAGGCGCTGTATTCTATGAAGAAAACCTGATGTGTGTATCCAGAATATTCCTTTAAAAACATGCTAAATTATTTTTTGTTTACCTCTTGTCTCCCAGCACCCTGTGCTCCTCAGTCTGTGGTCAGTCAGCTCTTAGACTGCCAAACAGGGGATGTTCAAGTTCGCTGGCAGTCGAGTAACGGGGCGCAGATTTACTATGCTCAAGCTAAATCAACTGACAAGGTTCTGGCGTGTAACTCCACCTCCACATCCTGCGTAATCGCTGCAATTGGCTGTGGACAGACATACAATATCACTGTGTCTGCAGAGGGCAACGGCTGTCGCTCCAACAGTGTGACCAGTCAGGTCACGGCAGGTGCAGTAGCATTTTGACAAAGTTGATGGCTACAATTCTAAATAATGAGTCCTAACAAAGAAAAAATATCACCGACCCTAAACTTTTGAATGGTAGTATAGATATTGAGATATGATATTTGGATTAGTGGCTTGTTAAAAGGATAATTCACTTTTAAAATAACAGCCAACCATATTCTAATTTTGTCTGTTTGTTATATAATTTACGCAGCTCCTTGTGTACCACAAAACCACATAAATGTGTCGTAGAAGCCACTTAGAACATTTTATCAACCATCTGGCAACACCCTGACAACCATCCACCATGTAAAAATAGAGTTTTGCAACAGCCTTTTGATGTGTTATCAATTTGTCATGTTGCAGCACCATGTCCTAATACTGGCATTCAAGCCAGACTGGATTGCCGCACCAACTCAGCACTCATTTCTTGGACACCGGGCAATGGTACACTAAGTTCCAATGCAACACTGCAGTCTTTCCAGGACGCCCAAAAGCACAGCTGCTTCACCAACGGCTCCTCATGCAACATCAGCTCACTTCAGTGTGGTCAGCACTACAACATCAGTGTTACAGGATACGGCCAGAACTGTTCAACCTGTTCTAAACCCCTGGTCACTCTAGACACAGGTATAACATTAAACAATAATTCAGTGCAATAAGCGTAGAGCCTAATTTAAACCCTTTCTAAATGTCATCAAATCATCTATTGCGCTAAAATGTTGAGCATCACATCATTTGAATCTTTTCTTTCTAGCTCCATGTGTTCCCACTCAAGTAAATGTATCATTATCCTGTGGGTCTGACACTGCGTCGGTTTCCTGGGCAGCATCTAGTGGCCTTGTTTCCAACTATATAGTAACAGCTGAAGGTGATAATGGAATTACGCACACATGCAACTCCAGCAGCACTTCCTGTAACATCAGCGGCCTGGCGTGTGGTCAGGCGTACAACGTGTCAGTCACAGCTATGAGCGTCGACTGCACTGGGCAACGTAGCGAAGTGCGTCGTGTCCAAACTGGTAAGTATTTCATCTACAGTATAACCTTACAATCGTTTAGCTAAACTCATCATCCATCTGACTGGTGGAGAATTTTGCACACTACAAGTTTGTCTAGTGTTTAATGCAGGACTTTTAAACTATATTTTGTAGTGGTTTGCTATACTTAAAGTTTGAATTGTTTCTTAAAGTCCCCCTGTAGTCAATCATTTTATCCCTTAAAACTCATCTTTGATCACCAAAATTATATATATTTAAAAAGAAATTCTTGAAAACAATGTCTTCATGTCTAAAAATAGCTTAAAATGCAACTCTACACCTTTGCCTCATTTAGTATATGCGGATCTATGAATATGTAAATCAGCCCCGCCTCCACTCACTCGAACCAGCTCAGCCACTCGTTGACGATCACAGCTTGATGTGATTGGTTACATGCTAGTAGTTTGTGATGTCAGAAACACCAGCGATTTCACACCGCGTTTTTAAGACTGTCTTTGTTTCACTGCAGTTTTAAGGAGAAAAAACTCAGCAATGGTGTCGACTTATTCATTTCCTCATGATTTGTCTTAAAGTCCCTATGAAATCAAAATTGACCATACTTACTTTGTTTGCCTAAATTGATCGTTTTGTGGTGAACAATTCATACATGCAAGTCAATCCACACTAAAAAAATTTGAAATCAAATTTTGAAAATACACCCCCCCCCCCCCCCCCCCCCTCCCTCTGCATTGGAGGACCTTGCCCAATGATGTAGGCTTTACGGTTTGGGTGTCTCCTTAACATCCACAACCACGCCCCTCCAACTGACAGCTGCTGTGTGTTTGCGAGCGCCGAGCGAGCATTGATTGACAGCGTGTGTAAACTTGCATCATCCTCCATTTCAGAATGAAACACCCATTTTTCTAGATCAAATCAGGTGCTAGTTGGAAAAAAAGCCACGCCCACTATTTTGCCTCATTTAGCATTACGTTTCTCTCGGAAATACGTCACAACACTGGAGAAAAGTCGTTTGCAACTTCCGGTTCACGGGGACTTTAAAGCATATAAATAAATAAATTAAAAAAACACCACATAGACATATAAACAATATTAAAATCTTGATTTCCACCACTGGGGGAGTTTAAAAGCACTACACATTAAAGTATTATACATTAAAAGGCACACTTTAAAAAACTTGATAGATGTGTAGCATTCAAGTAAACAGTACAGCCTTGACAAAAGTAATAAACTTCACATTTAATCCCTCCAGCATACTTGTCTGCTACCCAACAAAAATGATTTGTCACATGAACATTCCTACAGTGTTTTGGTTCCCAAAAAATAACCGAAAGGAAACCATATACTAACATTCGGGGAACCTTAGGGGAATGTTATGGGAATGTGTTTTCTGACATCAAATGTACGTGGGTTAACGCAACTGTGTTTCTTATTCATTTTTATAAACACTGTTTTCTGAGGAAACGCTGTTTTCTATTAAGAAAACTTGATGTGTGTATCCAGAATATTCCTTTAAAAACATGCTAAATGAATTCTTTGTTTAACTCTTGTCTCCCAGCACCCTGTGCTCCTCAGTCTGTGGTCAGTCAGCTCTTAGACTGCCAAACAGGGGATGTTCAAGTAAGCTGGCAGTCGAGTAACGGGGCGCAGATCTACTATGCTCAAGCTAAATCAACTGACAAGGTTCTGGCGTGTAACTCCACCTCCACATCCTGCGTAATCGCTGCAATTGGCTGTGGACAGACATACAATATCACTGTGTCTGCAGAGGGCAACGGCTGTCGCTCCAACAGTGTGACCAGTCAGGTCACGGCAGGTGCAGTAGCATTTTGACAAAGTTGATGGCTACAATTCCAAATAATGAGTCCTAACAATTCAATATCTAAATATATATGAAGTCAACATGAAATCAAAATCAACTGTATATTACACAGTCCTGATCTTACTTTGCGCACTTCTTTACTGCATGTTAGAAAAAGTCTATTCTTTCACCACAATTAAACAGCAGTCCAGTGAAATCCATTTCAAACACACAGAAGCCATATCAACATCCTAGCACCACGTTACATACTTCACCTTTAAATACTATTCTTATCTTTTCTCTTCAGCCCCATGCCCTCCACTGAATATCCAGTCCAGAATGAACTGTGGCAACAACTCAGCGAGTGTGTCCTGGTCCCGTGGCAATGGAGAACTGTCCTTTTTGACAACACTTGAATGCTCTAATGGACAGACGTATTTGTGCAGGACCAATGAAACAGGATGTGACATCACTAACATGATGTGTGGACAAACTTGCTCGGTTAAATTAGTGGCAGAGGGACGTTCATGCAACAGCTCTGTACGCACTGGATCACCAATCATAACAGGTAAGAGAAATAGCTGCTTAAATCAAACCTTATTATATTGAATTTATGATATACACTACTGATCAAAAATCTGTGACCAGTAAAATTTTTTTAAAAGGAATTAAAAATGTTATTTAGCAAGGATGCATTATTTAAGTGACAGTAAATACATTAATAATTTTACAAAATATTTATTTTTTAAAATAAATACTCTTTTGAACTTTCTATTTATCAAACATCCTGATCTTTTTTTTTTACTGTTTTTAACAGCCAACCATATTCTAACTTGGTTTTATATATTATTAAAACCAAATTATTTACCCAGCTCCTTGTGTACCACCAAACCACATAAATGTGCCGTACAAGCCACTTAGAACATCTTAGCAACCATGTGGCAACACCTTGACAACCATCCACCATGTAAAAATACAGTTTTGCAACAGCATTTTGATGTGTTATCAATTTGTCATGTTGCAGCACCATGTCCTAATACTGGCATTCAAGCCAGACTGGATTGCCGCACCAACTCAGCACTCATTTCTTGGACACCGGGCAATGGTACACTAAGTTCCAATGCAACACTGCAGTCTTTCCAGGACGCCCAAAAGCACAGCTGCTTCACCAACGGCTCCTCATGCAACATCAGCTCACTTCAGTGTGGTCAGCACTACAACATCAGTGTTACAGGATACGGCCAGAACTGTTCAACCTGTTCTAAACCCCTGGTCACTCTAGACACAGGTATAACATTTAACAATAATTCAAAGAGCAATAAGCGTAGAGCCTAATTTAAACCCTTTCGAAATGGCATCAAATCATCTATTGTGCTAAAATGTTGAGCATCACATCATTTGAATCTTTTCTTTCCAGCTCCATGTGTTCCCACTCAAGTCAATGTGTCAATATCCTGTGGGTCTGAAACTGCGTCGGTTTCCTGGGCAGCATCTAGTGGCCTTGTTTCCAACTATATAGTAACAGCTGAAGGTGATAATGGAATTACGCACACATGCAACTCCAGCAGCACTTCCTGTAACATCAGCGGCCTGGCGTGTGGTCAGGCGTACAACGTGTCAGTCACAGCTATGAGCGTCGACTGCACTGGGCAACGTAGCGAAGTGCGTCGTGTCCAAACTGGTAAGTATTTCATCTACAGTATAACCTTACAATCGTTTAGCTAAACTCATCATCCATCTGACTGGTGGAGAATTTTGCACACTACAAGTTTGTCTAGTGTTTAATGCAGGACTTTTAAACTATATTTTGTAGTGGTTTGCTATACTTAAAGTTTGAATTGTTTCTTAAAGTCCCCCTGTAGTCAATCATTTTATCCCTTAAAACTCATCTTTGATCACCCAAATTATATATATTTAAAAAGAAATTCTTGAAAACAATGTCTTCATGTCTAAAAATAGCTTAAAATGTAGCTCTACACCTTTGCCTCATTTAGTATATGCGGATCTATGAATATGTAAATTAGCCCCGCCTCCACTCACTAGAACCAGCTCAACCACTCGTTGACGATCACACCTTGATTTGATTGGATACATGCTAGTTTGTGATGTCAGAAACACCAGCGATTTCACACCGCGTTTTTGTGACTGTCTTTGTTTCACTGCAGTTTTAAGGAGAAAAAACTCAGCAATGGTGTCGACTTATTAATTTCCTCATGATTTGTCTTAAAGCATATAAAAAAAACACCACATAGACATATAAACAATATTAAAATCTTGATTTTCCACCACTGGGGGAGTTTAAAAGCATTACACATTAAAATATTATACATTAAAAGGCACAATTTAAAAACTTGATAGATGTGTAGCATTCAAGTAAACAGTACAGCCTTGACAAAAATAATAAACTTCGCATTTAATCCCTCCAGCATACTTGTCTGCTACCCAGCAAAAAAATATTATTTGTTTCATGAACAAAATTACTTCATGTGTTTTGGTTCCCAAAATATAACCGAAAGGAAACCATATACTAACATTCGGGGAACCTTAGGGGAATGTGTTTTCTGACATCAAATGTACGTGGGTTAACGCAACTGTGTTTCTTATTCATTTTTATAAACACTGTTTTCTGAGGAAACGCTGTTTTCTATTAAGAAAACTTTAAGTGTGTATCCAGAATATTCCTTTAAAAACATGCTAAATTATTTTTTGTTTAACTCTTGTCTCCCAGCACCCTGTGCTCCTCAGTCTGTGGTCAGTCAGCTCTTAGACTGCCAAACAGGGGATGTTCAAGTAAGCTGGCAGTCGAGTAACGGGGCGCAGATCTACTATGCTCAAGCTAAATCAACTGACAAGGTTCTGGCGTGTAACTCCACCTCCACATCCTGCGTAATCGCTGCAATTGGCTGTGGACAGACATACAATATCACTGTGTCTGCAGAGGGCAACGGCTGTCGCTCCAACAGTGTGACCAGTCAGGTCACGGCAGGTGCAGTAGCATTTTGACAAAGTTGATGGCTACCATTCCAAATAATGAGTCCTAACAATTCAATATCTATATATTTAAAGTCAACATGAAATCAAAATCAACTTTATATTACACAGTCCTGATCTTACTTTGCGCACTTCTTTAGTGCATGTTAGAAAAAGTCTATTCTTTCATCACAATTAAACAGCAGTCCAGTGAAATCCATTTCAAACACACAGAAGCCATATCAACATCCTAGCACCACGTTACATATTTCACCTTTAAATACTATTCTTATCTTTTCTCTTCAGCCCCATGCCCTCCACTGAATATCCAGTCCAGAATGAACTGTGGAAACAACTCAGCGAGTGTGTCCTGGTCCCGTGGCAATGGAGAACTGTCCTTTTTGACAACACTTGAATGCTCTAATGGACAGACGTATTTGTGCAGGACCAATGAAACAGGATGTGACATCACTAACATGATGTGTGGACAAACTTGCTCGGTTAAATTAGTGGCAGAGGGACGTTCATGTAACAGCTCTGTACGCACTGGATCACCAATCATAACAGGTAAGAGAAATAGCTGCTTAAATCAAACCTTATTATATTGAATTTATGATTTACACTACAGATCAAAAATCTGTGACCAGTAAAAATTTTTTAAAAGGAATTAAAAATGTTATTTAGCAAGGATGCATTATTTAAGTGACAGTAAATACATTAATAATTTTACAAAATATTTATTTTTTAAAATAAATACTCTTTTGAACTTTCTATTTATCAAACATCCTGATCTTTTTTTTTTTTTTACTGTTTTTAACAGCCAACCATATTCTAACTTGGTTTTATATATTATTAAAACCAAATTATTTACGCAGCTCCTTGTGTACCACCAAACCACATAAATGTGCCGTAGAAGCCACTTAGAACATCTTAGCAACCATGTGGCAACACCTTGACAACCATCCATCCACCATGTAAAAATACAGTTTTGCAACAGCATTTTGATGTGTTATCAATTTGTCATGTTGCAGCACCATGTCCTAATACTGGCATTCAAGCCAGACTGGATTGCCGCACCAACTCAGCACTCATTTCTTGGACACCGGGCAATGGTACACTAAGTTCCAATGCAACACTGCAGTCTTTCCAGGACGCCCAAAAGCACAGCTGCTTCACCAACGGCTCCTCATGCAACATCAGCTCACTTCAGTGTGGTCAGCACTACAACATCAGTGTTACAGGATACGGCCAGAACTGTTCAACCTGTTCTAAACCCCTGGTCACTCTAGACACAGGTATAACATTTAACAATAATTCAAAGAGCAATAAGCGTAGAGCCTAATTTAAACCCTTTCTAAATGTCATCAAATCATCTATTGTGCTAAAATGTTGAGCATCACATCATTTGAATCTTTTCTTTCCAGCTCCATGTGTTCCCACTCAAGTCAATGTGTCAATATCCTGTGGGTCTGAAACTGCGTCGGTTTCCTGGGCAGCATCTAGTGGCCTTGTTTCCAACTATATAGTAACAGCTGAAGGTGATAATGGAATTACGCACACATGCAACTCCAGCAGCACTTCCTGTAACATCAGCGGCCTGGCGTGTGGTCAGGCGTACAACGTGTCAGTCACAGCTATGAGCGTCGACTGCACTGGGCAACGTAGCGAAGTGCGTCGTGTCCAAACTGGTAAGTATTTCATCTACAGTATAACCTTACAATCGTTTAGCTAAACTCATCATCCATCTGACTGGTGGAGAATTTTGCACACTACAAGTTTGTCTAGTGTTTAATGCAGGACTTTTAAACTATATTTTGTAGTGGTTTGCTATACTTAAAGTTTGAATTGTTTCTTAAAGTCCCCCTGTAGTCAATCATTTTATCCCTTAAAACTCATCTTTGATCACCCAAATTATATATATTTAAAAAGAAATTCTTGAAAACAATGTCTTCATGTCTAAAAATAGCTTAAAATGTAGCTCTACACCTTTGCCTCATTTAGTATATGCGGATCTATGAATATGTAAATTAGCCCCGCCTCCACTCACTAGAACCAGCTCAACCACTCGTTGACGATCACACCTTGATTTGATTGGATACATGCTAGTTTGTGATGTCAGAAACACCAGCGATTTCACACCGCGTTTTTGTGACTGTCTTTGTTTCACTGCAGTTTTAAGGAGAAAAAACTCAGCAATGGTGTCGACTTATTAATTTCCTCATGATTTGTCTTAAAGCATATAAAAAAAACACCACATAGACATATAAACAATATTAAAATCTTGATTTTCCACCACTGGGGGAGTTTAAAAGCATTACACATTAAAATATTATACATTAAAAGGCACAATTTAAAAACTTGATAGATGTGTAGCATTCAAGTAAACAGTACAGCCTTGACAAAAATAATAAACTTCGCATTTAATCCCTCCAGCATACTTGTCTGCTACCCAGCAAAAAAATATTATTTGTTTCATGAACAAAATTACTTCATGTGTTTTGGTTCCCAAAATATAACCGAAAGGAAACCATATACTAACATTCGGGGAACCTTAGGGGAATGTGTTTTCTGACATCAAATGTACGTGGGTTAACGCAACTGTGTTTCTTATTCATTTTTATAAACACTGTTTTCTGAGGAAACGCTGTTTTCTATTAAGAAAACTTTAAGTGTGTATCCAGAATATTCCTTTAAAAACATGCTAAATTATTTTTTGTTTAACTCTTGTCTCCCAGCACCCTGTGCTCCTCAGTCTGTGGTCAGTCAGCTCTTAGACTGCCAAACAGGGGATGTTCAAGTAAGCTGGCAGTCGAGTAACGGGGCGCAGATCTACTATGCTCAAGCTAAATCAACTGACAAGGTTCTGGCGTGTAACTCCACCTCCACATCCTGCGTAATCGCTGCAATTGGCTGTGGACAGACATACAATATCACTGTGTCTGCAGAGGGCAACGGCTGTCGCTCCAACAGTGTGACCAGTCAGGTCACGGCAGGTGCAGTAGCATTTTGACAAAGTTGATGGCTACAATTCTAAATAATGAGTCCTAACAATTCAATATCTATATATTTAAAGTCAACATGAAATCAAAATCAACTTTATATTACACAGTCCTGATCTTACTTTGCGCACTTCTTTAGTGCATGTTAGAAAAAGTCTATTCTTTCATCACAATTAAACAGCAGTCCAGTGAAATCCATTTCAAACACACAGAAGCCATATCAACATCCTAGCACCACGTTACATATTTCACCTTTAAATACTATTCTTATCTTTTCTCTTCAGCCCCATGCCCTCCACTGAATATCCAGTCCAGAATGAACTGTGGAAACAACTCAGCGAGTGTGTCCTGGTCCCGTGGCAATGGAGAACTGTCCTTTTTGACAACACTTGAATGCTCTAATGGACAGACGTATTTGTGCAGGACCAATGAAACAGGATGTGACATCACTAACATGATGTGTGGACAAACTTGCTCGGTTAAATTAGTGGCAGAGGGACGTTCATGTAACAGCTCTGTACGCACTGGATCACCAATCATAACAGGTAAGAGAAATAGCTGCTTAAATCAAACCTTATTATATTGAATTTATGATTTACACTACAGATCAAAAATCTGTGACCAGTAAAAATTTTTTAAAAGGAATTAAAAATGTTATTTAGCAAGGATGCATTATTTAAGTGACAGTAAATACATTAATAATTTTACAAAATATTTATTTTTTAAAATAAATACTCTTTTGAACTTTCTATTTATCAAACATCCTGATCTTTTTTTTTTTTTTACTGTTTTTAACAGCCAACCATATTCTAACTTGGTTTTATATATTATTAAAACCAAATTATTTACGCAGCTCCTTGTGTACCACCAAACCACATAAATGTGCCGTAGAAGCCACTTAGAACATCTTAGCAACCATGTGGCAACACCTTGACAACCATCCACCATGTAAAAATACAGTTTTGCAACAGCATTTTGATGTGTTATCAATTTGTCATGTTGCAGCACCATGTCCTAATACTGGCATTCAAGCCAGACTGGATTGCCGCACCAACTCAGCACTCATTTCTTGGACACCGGGCAATGGTACACTAAGTTCCAATGCAACACTGCAGTCTTTCCAGGACGCCCAAAAGCACAGCTGCTTCACCAACGGCTCCTCATGCAACATCAGCTCACTTCAGTGTGGTCAGCACTACAACATCAGTGTTACAGGATACGGCCAGAACTGTTCAACCTGTTCTAAACCCCTGGTCACTCTAGACACAGGTATAACATTTAACAATAATTCAAAGAGCAATAAGCGTAGAGCCTAATTTAAACCCTTTCGAAATGGCATCAAATCATCTATTGTGCTAAAATGTTGAGCATCACATCATTTGAATCTTTTCTTTCCAGCTCCATGTGTTCCCACTCAAGTCAATGTGTCAATATCCTGTGGGTCTGAAACTGCGTCGGTTTCCTGGGCAGCATCTAGTGGCCTTGTTTCCAACTATATAGTAACAGCTGAAGGTGATAATGGAATTACGCACACATGCAACTCCAGCAGCACTTCCTGTAACATCAGCGGCCTGGCGTGTGGTCAGGCGTACAACGTGTCAGTCACAGCTATGAGCGTCGACTGCACTGGGCAACGTAGCGAAGTGCGTCGTGTCAAAACTGGTAAGTATTTCATCTACAGTGTAACCTTATAATTGTTTAGCTAAACTCATCATCCATCTGACTAGTTTGAATTGTTTCTTAAAGTCCCCCTGTAGTCAATGATTTTATCCCTTAAAACTAATCTTTCATCACCAAATTTACATATTTTTAAAAAAAAATTCTTGATTTTTTTTTGTCATGCCTTAAAATAGCTTAAAATGTAGCTCTACACGCTTGCCTCATTTAGTATACGCGGATCTATGAATATTTAAATCAGCCCCGCCTCCACTCACTCGAACCAGCTCAACCACTCGTTGACGATCACAGCTTGATGTGATTGGTTACATGCTAGTAGTTTGTGATGTCAGAAACACCAGCGATTTCACATCGCGTTTTTAAGACTGTCTTTGTTTCACTGCAGTTTTAAGGAGAAAAAACTCAGCAATGGTGTCGACTTATTCATTTCCTCATGATTTGTCTTAAAACATATTTTAAAAAAAACACCACATAGACATATAAACAATATTAAAATCTTGATTTTCCACCACTGGGGGAGTTTAAAAGCATTACACATTAAAATATTACACATTAAAAGGCACAATTTAAAAACTTGATAGATGTGTAGCATTCAAGTAAACAGTACAGCCTTGACAAAAATAATAAACTTCGCATTTAATCCCTCCAGCATACTTGTCTGCTACCCAGCAAAAAAATATTATTTGTTTCATGAACAAAATTACTTCATGTGTTTTGGTTCCCAAAATATAACCGAACGGAAACCATATACTAACATTCGGGGAACCTTAGGGGAATGTGTTTTCTGACATCAAATGTACGTGGGTTAACACAACTGTGTTTCTTATTCATTTTTATAAACACTGTTTTCTGAGGAAACGCTGTTTTCTATTAAGAAAACTTTAAGTGTGTATCCAGAATATTCCTTTAAAAACATGCTAAATGAATTCTTTGTTTAACTCTTGTCTCCCAGCACCCTGTGCTCCTCAGTCTGTGGTCAGTCAGCTCTTAGACTGCCAAACAGGGGATGTTCAAGTAAGCTGGCAGTCGAGTAACGGGGCGCAGATCTACTATGCTCAAGCTAAATCAACTGACAAGGTTCTGGCGTGTAACTCCACCTCCACATCCTGCGTAATCGCTGCAATTGGCTGTGGACAGACATACAATATCACTGTGTCTGCAGAGGGCAACGGCTGTCGCTCCAACAGTGTGACCAGTCAGGTCACGGCAGGTGCAGTAGCATTTTGACAAAGTTGATGGCTACAATTCTAAATAATGAGTCCTAACAATTCAATATCTAAATATATATGAAGTCAACATGGAATCAATATCAACTGTATATTACACAGTCCTGATCTTACTTTGCGCACTTCTTTACTGCATGTTAGAAAAAGTCTATTCTTTCACCACAATTAAACAGCAGTCCAGTGAAATCCATTTCAAACACACAGAAGCCATATCAACATCCTAGCACCACGTTACATATTTCACCTTTAAATACTATTCTTATCTTTTCTCTTCAGCCCCATGCCCTCCACTGAATATCCAGTCCAGAATGAACTGTGGAAACAACTCAGCGAGTGTGTCCTGGTCCCGTGGCAATGGAGAACTGTCCTTTTTGACAACACTTGAATGCTCTAATGGACAGACGTATTTGTGCAGGACCAATGAAACAGGATGTGACATCACTAACATGATGTGTGGACAAACTTGCTCGGTTAAATTAGTGGCAGAGGGACGTTCATGCAACAGCTCTGTACGCACTGGATCACCAATCATAACAGGTAAGAGAAATAGTTGCTTAATAGCTGCTAAATGTTACTTAGACCAGTAACATTTTTTAAAAACAATTAAAAATGTTTTTTAGCAAGGATGGTTTATTTGAAAGTGACAGTAAATACATTTATAATGTTACAAAATATTTTATTTTTTAAATAAATACTCTTTTGAACTTTCTATTTATCAAACATCTAAACGTTTTCTTTTTTTTTGACTGTTTTTAACAGCCAACCATATTCTAATTTTGTTTTATTCAATTTACCCAGCTCCTTGTGTACCACCAAACCACATAAATGTGCCGTAGAAGCCACTTAGAACATCTTAGCAACACCCTGACAACCATCCACCATGTAAAAATAGAGTTTTGCAACAGCCTTTTGATGTGTTATCAATTTGTCATGTTTCAGCACCATGTCCTAATACTGGCATTCAAGCCAGACTGGATTGCCGCACCAACTCAGCACTCATTTCTTGGACACCGGGCAATGGTACACTAAGTTCCAATGCAACTCTGCAGTCTTTCCAGGACGCCCAAAAGCACAGCTGCTTCACCAACGGCTCCTCATGCAACATCAGCTCACTTCAGTGTGGTCAGCACTACAACATCAGTGTTACAGGATACGGCCAGAACTGTTCAACCTGTTCTAAACCCCTGGTCACTCTAGACACAGGTATAACATTTAACAATAATTCAAAGAGCAATAAGCGTAGAGCCTAATTTAAACCCTTTCTAAATGGCATCCGATAAACTATTGGGCTAAAATGTTGAGCATCACATCATTTGAATCTTTTCTTTCCAGCTCCATGTGTTCCCACTCAAGTCAATGTGTCAATATCCTGTGGGTCTGAAACTGCGTCGGTTTCCTGGGCAGCATCTAGTGGCCTTGTTTCCAACTATATAGTAACAGCTGAAGGTGATAATGGAATTACGCACACATGCAACTCCAGCAGCACTTCCTGTAACATCAGCGGCCTGGCGTGTGGTCAGGCGTACAACGTGTCAGTCACAGCTATGAGCGTCGACTGCACTGGGCAACGTAGCGAAGTGCGTCGTGTCAAAACTGGTAAGTATTTCATCTACAGTATAACCTTACAATCGTTTAGCTAAACTCATCATCCATCTGTCTAGTGGAGAATTTTGCACACTACAAGTTTGTCTAGTGTTTAATGCGGAAATTGTAAACTATAGTGCACAGTATATAATAAACTTCATTACCACATCGTTTGAATATTCTTTTAAAATAATGTCAACCATGTACTTATTTTGTTTTCTGTAATTTACCCAGCTCCTTGTGTGCCACAAAACGTGTCGGCCAATGTCACCTGTAGTAGCAACATAGCAAAGGTAACCTGGGCAAGCAGCCAAGGGGCGGAGCTTTACTCAGTGACAGCCAGCAGTGTCAATGGCCTCTCAGCTAACTGCACCTCAGCCTCCACCTCCTGTGACCTTTTAACTTTGACCTGCGGACAGTCTTATACGATCACAGTGAAGGCCAAAGGCAGCAACTGTAGCAGTGGGAACAGTGCACCAGTTCAGGTCCAGACAGGTAATGAAATATAACCTATAACTAAGTAACACAACCTTTAGTGCACGACACAATTTTAACACAATCAAAACCCAACCAGTTTATTGGTTGATTCTTGTAAAAGCTGAAGAATGGAATTGAAAAATATTCTTTTGAAATGTGTGAACATTTTGAATGAAAATTCTAACAATGTCAGTCAAGTTTTAATTGTCAAACTTTTTTCTTTGCAGTGCCATGTGTACCTGGTCATGTGCAGGGCAGAGTAAACTGTACGACTGGAGATGTGTCTTTATCCTGGGATCGAAGCGTGGGTGCCGTTTCCTACACGGCAGTTGCTTGGAGTAGCGGTGGCTATGCTTCAACGTGTAACAGCACTGGAACAGCATGTGTCTTCTCAGACCTGCTCTGTGGGATGAACTATAGTTTGGCTGTCAGCGCGAGTGACAGTAGCTGCCGCACTGCACCGACCCAACCAGTTGTGCTGAACACAGGTACCTTAGAAAAAAAATAACAATAAAAAAGTGAGTTACACTTTATAGGTGTCCATGTTGCAAGGTAATTTAAGTACTGGGTTAATAATAATTGAACTTTCTATAGGGTTACAGTCAGGATTAGGTTTTGGTTTAGGGTTAGTTGCATGTAATTATGCATTTATTACAGTTATTACATGTAATGTAACAAGGACACTGTAAATTAAAATAAAGTGTTACCAAAAGGTGTTTCCCAAAATAATTGAAAGATTCTCATTTACTGGTGTAAATACTATTTGACTAATTATGGTAATTGTAAATATTTTATTTCACTTCAGTGTCCTGTAAGCCACAGAATGCTAGCGCCCTGCTCAACTGCGACACCAACTCTGCTGTTGTAACTTGGGAGCTCACTGATAACCTCACGCATCACACGGTGCAGGCTGTTGGTTCTGACGGACATCGCATCAACTGCACGAGCTCTGACCACAGTTGCACACTATCCGGAATCCACTGTGGCCAGAGATATAACCTAACCGTGACTGCCATGGATGGAGTATGTGACAACAGCAACACATACCTCACTCTGCAGTCAGGTGAGTCCACTGCTTCTGTTGTGCACCTGATGACAGAGCTCAGATTTAACAGTTTCTGATGTGGGATATTCTAATCTGTTGTCATATGTTCAAAAATACTCATAAACCCCAACCCTGCTCCTGCCGATCGACTGTCCTGCACAGTTCATCTCCAACCCTAATCAAACACACCTGAAGACCTTAATTGGTTGCTTCAGGTGTGTTTGATTAGGGTTGGAGATGAACTGTGCAAGACAGTAGATCGGCAGGAGCAGGTTCGGGCACCTCTGACAAACAAACAAAATGGCCATGCAGGTGTATGCTTATCAACATTACAAGACTAATAATGAATGTCCTTTAAAATGGTACCTGTTCTCTCTCTATTTAGCTCCATGTGCACCTAGCAATGTTCAGACATCTTTGCTTTGCGACATCAACAATGGTAGTGTTGTGTCTGTGTCGTGGGTACAAGCCAACGGGGCGGAGGCATTCATGGCTGTGGCCGTGTCTAATGATGGCCATTCCTACTCTTGTAACACCACCACTTTCTCCTGTAATCTGAAAGAACTGCAGTGTGGTCAGAATTATAATGTTTCCGTCTACTCAATGGCCAGTGGCTGCGGGGGCGTGAAGAGTACTATGTCTCAAGTGCAAACAGGTGCGTGTGTGAGGATTTTACTTTATCAAGTAAAGACTGCATGTCACCTTAACAACTTAAAGGGATACTCCACTTTTTTGGAAATAGGCTCATTTTACAACTAGAAGAATGTCAGTAACCAGAAACTGTCTGGTTACTGAAATTCTTCTAAATATCAGAAAATCGACTGAATGGATTCGAAAACGGTAAAACTCAACGGTTCAACTCTGGGGGAGTTGTAAAATGAGCCTATTTCCAAAAAAAAAATTGGAGTATCCCTTCAATTGGCAACCAAATATATATAAAGGCCTAACAAGTATGTCATGAACTCTACATTGTTATGGCTTTGCATGTGAAATGAGTAGGTATGCTAACCTGATGTATAGCATGTGCAGTTCGGCAATGATTTATTGGTTTAGCTTTTATCATTTCCTGCTGAAATATTTGGTACTGCCCCACCCTCCAATAACAGATTGATTCCATTTCTGTTTTCTCAGCTCCATGTCCACCTCACAACGTATCTGCAAATGTGCAGTGTGATTCAGGGTCTGTGCTGGTGAGCTGGAGCCCAGCAGTGGATGCCAGCCAATTCAGAGTGGAAATGGAGTCCGAGATCACTGGTGTGATTTCCTCCTGTAACAGCACAAACACGCAGTGCTCCATCACACATCTGCCCTGTGGAGAGAGCTTCAACATCAGTGTGGTGGCACTGAGGGGCAGCTGTCAGAGTCAAGCAAGCAGTAGCTTCAACATCGCCTCAGGTTGGACACTTAAAACAAGAATGCTCTCTATTACAAATGGATGGATGGATGGATAGATACATTTCAAAGTCCATACGTTCCTTATGCGCTTTATGTCTAACCTCTTCTCTCTACAGCTCCATGTGCCCCACAGGGGGTTAATGGTACCGTGGACTGTGTCACTAACTCCGCATGGGTATCATGGGAAGTGGATAAGGGAGTGGAGTCTTACACGGTGCTGGCTGTTGGGGACGACGGTCTCAATACCACATGTTCCAGCGCAAACTCCACCTGTAATGTGCCTGACCTTGGTTGTGGAAAGAGCTACACCTTCCAAGTCACTGCTTCAAACGGTGCCTGCCTGAGCCCACCCAGCAACAGCCTTCAGCTGGAGACAGGCAAGTACATCTGAGAGCTTCAGCCCTATCATTTGAGACCATGGGTCTCTTAGGCTGAATCCCAATTCACCCGTTGGCCCTACCCCTTGTTTTCGAGTGTACCCCTTGGCCCTTATAACAGAGTTACAAGGGCCAAGGGGTTGAAATATTCCCCAACGAAATGGAACCCATCATGAACCCGATACGTCATCAGTCGTCAGCAATGGCTCTGCCGTTACAGGATTTCTCCATGACAACAACTGACAATCAGCGCAGCTGTTCTTAACTTTGAATAAACATGATGATTATAACGTCCCTTCCTCGAAATGTATGTCTTTTCTGATCAGAAAGGTAATTTATTATACAATTTCTTCATTTAAACGACTATAGTGTTATTGTAAGAGTAAATAAAGTGCGTGGAGGAATCATCTGGCGCTACATTTAAATGTTTAACCATTTGCGATCTATCTCGCCGGTTATTTGCGATGCATTCCGGGAACTTTCTTGTAGCCCTCCGTTTGAAGTGTGCCTCTGAAAAATCTCCATTTCGAGGGCTATGTAGCCCTACCCCTTCGCCCTACTCCTCGATCTCAACAAGAATCGGGACACCCTACCCCTACACGTGAACGCGCAAAACGGAGGGGAAGAGCCATGGGGTAGGGGGTGAATTGGGATCGAGCCTTAGTCTTAATGTATGTTATCTCTCTCTCCAGCACCTTGTGCCTTGTCATCCATCGTGGTGGTGGCTGAATGCCAAAGTTCTGTTATCATGGTACAGTGGCAGAGGGCACGCAGAGGAAATTCCCTTTACATTGTCACAGCAGAGGACCAAGACCGTGCCTTCATTTCCTGCAATAGCTCCACCTCTTCCTGCAACCTTACCAATGTGCAGTGCGGCAAAGAGTACACCATCATTGTGGCTGCTTCGGCCAACCAATGCAGCAGCCTTCGCAGCCCACCCTACAAGATCAGAACCGGTACAACCATCGATATTGTTATACCCTACCTAGTAAAACAATGAGTTTAAAAAGCAAGTGATTAGTAATCAATAGCTGTTCATTAGCAAGTTGCGCTTTATGTAGGCCACCATCACTATTATTATTGCTCCAACTTGGAGGTTAGGGATTTGAGCTGCCATGACATTCCTAGGTGATGCTAACAACCACTTGATACACAACATATGGATTTTGGGACTTTTCTAGTGAAATAATTGCAATTGCCCTTTATAAACCAGGGGTTTCTAATCCTGCTCCAGGAGAACAACCTTCTTGTAGAGTTGACCATCATTGGCTGGTTAAAGTTTAAGCTAAACTTAGCAGGAAGGTAGTCCTTCCAGAGAATAATTGACACATTGATCTATCTATCTATCTATTACATATAGAGTTTACATGTGCTTTCTTTGCACCATATTCAGGTTGTACTCATTTCTTCCTTTGATCCTCAACAGCGCCCTGTCAGCCCTCACAAGTACAGGCCTATGCAGACTGTGAGTCAAAGGCCGTGTTTGTGTCATGGGAGCCATCTTACGTGGCACAGTCATACCTGCTTACTGCAGTCAGCAGAGATGGAGACTTAAAGACATGCAATACCTCGTACAATAACTGCACACTAACTGACATGCAATGCAGCAACACCTACAATGTGTCCGTTTTAGCCAGTAATGAAAACTGCACCAGTGTGCCAAGTACTAACGTCACATTCAAAACAGGTAAGAGTGACGAACTCTTTTCCTTTAAATTATTTGAACAATATTTATGCATTGTACAAACTTTCATTGCGGTGTCTTTTTTTCTGCAGTGCCATGTGCGCCAACTAATGTGACTGCAAACATACAGTGCGGGAACAGTAGTGCCTCCTTGTCATGGGTGGGGAGTACAGGGGCAGTGGCCTACGTGGGAATTGCCCAGTCAGAAAATGCCTCAAAGGTCTACTGCCAGAACACGGAGACTTCCTGTTCTTTGATGGGCTTAGTATGCGGCACCGTTTACAACTTTACAGTGCAGGCAACAGATGGCACCTGCAACAGTTCCTTGAGTAAACCTCAAATTGGTGGAGCAGGTATAACAATTATCTGCTTTCTTAGAACTGACCAGCAAATATTTGAGTTGTGCCCTAAGGGTGTTTCATACTAGTGCTTTTAGAATAGACTTGAACCTGTTTGACATCAACGTTCGTTTTTTTTGGGTTGGAATGTTTTCTGTACTTGCGTGTCCACCAAAAGAACCACACCCAAATTTGCTTGAAAAGGGAGGTCTGGAGTCCACTATAGTACAGTTGTTAATTAGTATGAAAGCAATTTGGCCAAATTTGCAATGTGAATTGCTTCTGATGATGGACTACAAGATATTCAAAGACCTACAAGTAGAGTGGCGAATCTAAATTTAGTCGCCTAGTCGTTATCTTAGTTGAAGTTGTGTCTACAAATCGGATATAACATAAAAAGGACCAGACCAAATGTCAGACCAAAACCTCAGACCAAATGTGGAAGCGTAACTTGCACAAAATTTGAGTGTAGTACAGACAAATCCATTGTAAAGGCAGATACTAACATTTTGGTTCTGTTTCTTTGTGATCCCCATTGGGAAAACTGGTTTTAAGTCTTGATGTCCATCTCTTTCCCTCAGCTCCCTGTCCTCCAGCTGGGTTGAGGGTTGTCCCTCGTACAGTAGTGAATGACACTCAGATCTTGAGGGCGTCCTGGTCCACCGTGAGTTGCCCTAATTCTGAATACCTCTTTGGACTCAAGGGCAGCATTCAAGGCAACAGCCAGGCACTCTTTGATCTCGCCTCCTATTGGACAAGTCGCACCTTCTTTGAGATGCCTCTACCTTGTGGCTCCTCCTACAGCGCAACCATCAGGGCGAGGAACTCTGCCGCCTCAAGCGCCGAGTCTGTTGCGGTCACTGGAACCACAGGTGCACAATGATTAATCATCATAGCACTACCTTCCTACATTCGTAAATGGGAAATGAAGATGCTTAAAGTGCAAATACATACATACATAACTCATCTGTTCATTTGTTTCTTTCCCCCAGTACCTTGTGCCCCTCTAAATGTGACATTCTCTGCATCATCGGCGGTAGTGGCATGGCAAGAGTCTTTATTTGCTACGAACTACACCGCGTATGGGGTCACTTCCTCTGGTAGGATGAAGCTCTGTATGACCTCACAGCTCCTCTGCTCCATCACCAGTTTCAGTAGCGGCCACATTGTCGTAACTGCCCACAATGCTGCTGGACAAAGTGAAGACTCAGTGCCTGTTTTAGGTAAGTGGTACAAGTAACAAATAATGAAACATCAGATCAGTAGAAACATGGGTTGTCAAAATGTATCTTGTTTTGGTGAAAGTCCTGTAATCTTTGATCATGTCCATCAATTGCCAGTGACAGCCGTTCGCAGGAGGTGAGACCTGGCTAGAAAGCAGATAGGTGAGTTGATGCTCAATATAAATGGAAAATTAAGAACAATTTATGGAAATTGTATGATTTCTCAAAATGGAGAAATAGGCCTCGTTAAGGAAAATGGCATGTTCAAGAAAATGAGACCATGAGGGAGGAAATACAGTCTGGTGTGCCACTTTAGCGATCATTGATCATAAGTTGATAAAACATGGAAAATCTCTTCCAGTGGAAAAACAAAAAACAAACAAACAAACCACTAACACCTGTACATCTATCCCTCACAGCCTCCTTTCACATGCAGTTGAGTGATTCCACTGACAACTGTTTAAAGATTCATTCAAATGTTTTTAAGAAAAGTTTTAAACAAATTGAAAAGCCTGCTAGTATTAACCACCTTCTCTCCACACCAGGCCTGCACAACTCTGAGTGAATGCATCTCATCGCACTCAAACTCTTGCCTTTGACATTTTTCCTAAAATCTTTGATACTTTTGCATGTTACATATATTCCAGTGCAAGGTTCATTTTTTTCCCCACAAAATGTATGGGTGGAATAGATTGACAGGGTAAAATATGTGTTAACATGGTTTCTTTTTAAATGTTTTCCAAAATCTTTTTTTTTCTTTGGCTGAAGGATTTACTTTTATGAATGCCAAATATTTAAAGCCTATATATATATATATATATATACACACATTCCTGTTTTTGTATATGACTAAAGTTATTAAACAGAGCATTTCTCCATGTATTCAGTCTTATAAATTATGACATGTAAAGCACATGTAAAATAAATTTACCATACACAAAACATCTACTGTTCAAATAAAATGAATGTTCTTATTATGAGCTGACAAGGACACAACAGTGACCTATACTGAGAGGGGAAAAAAAACTGTATTAAACATCTCCATTAAACAATGTAAAAGGCATTACTGATTCAGAAATAATGGATCAATAAACTGAACACATGTTCAAGTAATTTCAAGAGTAGGAATGACTAGATTACATCATTCACAATGCTTGAAGGGAATAGGTACTCTTACTGATTTTCGCTCTTCCATAGCAACTTTACAGATGAATACAACAATTACCTTTTAAAAACTAAAGTTGAAATCACACGGCAAAGCACGTCTTAATTTAACAACCTGAAAGATCACGGAAGGTTTGTCTTGAAAGGTTTACACTATCAAAATAAGGAATTTTTACTTGCAGAACCCCAACTCTTACTCTTTTGCTTAAATTAAAAAAAATAAACACAACTGAGCAATTCTGTTTCATACAAGATTTTTTTTTATTAGAAAATGAGATGCAACAGAGCAATGAATCAAACAGCAATGTAGGCACAGCTTTCAGCAGCCTGTGCACAAACTTAACTCTGTGGTCAACTGTGTTGAACTTTAAAACATTCTCTGAGCTCTATGTACAAAGCCATTTATGAGAATCCTGAAAACAAATTGGGGGAGAAACTGGACTTAAAAAAAGGATTTAAAAATGCCATTTTCAGTCCGGCGATCAGAAACTGAGAGAAAATCACATTTTTAATATCTACACAATCGGCTGATAATAGTGCAGGGAAGGGAAAAAAAAAAAAAAAAATTCCAGCCTTTTCCATTTGTTTACTTGAACACAGGTGGTGCACAGAGGATTATAGATAAGGACATGAAGTAATAAGAGAGGGACCGGAAAAAAGGGAGGGAATCTGAGAGAGAGGTTGGAGACAGACTTGGATCAGGGAGACTCCGCTCGAACACTGTTTGTTCTTTCACCGGGTTCGGGACTGTGGTGTTCTTGTTTTACATGTTCTCGTCCATTGCTGGATTCTCTACGGTGCGAGCGCTCTTTGCTGCGACTGCGCTTGTGTGACCGCTCCTTACTATGGCTGTGATCCCGCTTCCTGTTCTTCTCCCCTACTTCCTGCCTGCTCCTGCTGCCTGAGCGAGAGCGTTTCTTACTAGATCGCTCGGTTCTGTGTTTCCTGTCTCTGCTTCTGCTACTCGAGCGCTTACTCCTCTTTTCTTCCCTGTGCTTTCGATCCTCCTTATCATCCTTGTGCCTCCGCTCTTCTCCCTCTCTTCTCTTGTCTTTTGACCTCTCCTGATCTTTATGATGCTCTCTGTCTTTCCTGCGACTACGCTCTCTTTCACTCTCTGCCTCCCTCTCTTTATCTCGGTCTTTCCTGTCATTCCGCTTCTCCCGGCTCGGACTGAGACTCCGACGTCGTTCCTTGCTACGGCTGTGTCGACGTTCTGTGGTTCGGTCTGGTGTTCTTGAACGCCGTCTATCTCGATCTCTCTCCCTGTCCCTCTCTCGGTCCCTGTCTCTATCCCGGTCCTTTCCCTCCCTTTCTTTGCGTTGACGATCTCGTTCTCTTTCCAGTTCACGGTCGAAGCTGGCACCATGTTTTTCTTTGTGATGGCTGCGACTCCGGGAACGATTTTGGGATCTCTTGGGACTCTGACTTTTCCTAGGTGTCCTTAAAACACAAACATAAGAACACAAATCATTGAACAGAGCGCACACACACAAGACACCTTGTCAAATAGGAGAGAGTGGGATCATTTTGTAATAGCAACAATATTTCTTACATTATAACATCACAAGTTATGCAAGACAGTATCTGCTGTAGCCAAGTAACTCATAGTAGAAATTAATTTATGCATTTCAAAAAGAATTACAACCTAAAATGCTGAACAAAACTTTGGGCTACTGTTTAAATTATGTAAACTATAGGGCTGTACTGTCTCAGTCGATTAGTTGATTTATTGGTTGATGCGTTCTGGTTCGACAAATTCAGATGGGTCGATTTTTTTTTTATTTTTTAATACCGGGTTCATTTAATTTGAAGAGCTCATTTCATTAGGTGGAAAGCACTAACTGCTAATGGTGGTCTTTTTCAGAAAACCCCTGTTTCACAGGTAACAATCTGTCTTCAGAACACCCCCCTTGTTTTCATTTGTTTTGGATTAGCCCAACCCACTGGAGAAGAGAGACAGATAAATAGGCTATAGAAGGTTTGATGCTGAATATTTATTTAATTGTGAGCATTTAATAGTCAACAAAGACAGACAGTGTGGCAGCATTTTGTTAAAATTGATAACGGGAAAGAGGTCAAATGCAAAGTGTGCAAGCAATAGTTTTACCTTCCACAGCTCGCCGACAAACATAACATCTAGAAGCGGTAAGCTAGCTTGTCTGCCCTGTCTGTTTTGAGTAACGTTAGGCTATATGAACATATCAGAATTGGCTTATCAGTTATGCACTTTATTTTATTTCTGCTCTTGATCTGGTTTGCTTAATAAATATGCTTTTTTATTAAAGTGGACGTGCCTTTTGTGTTCATTAAGAGTAAACAGTCTATTCGTGTCTCAGCCGTGAAGCTGAGCTCATGTTCAGCCTCAGCGCAAGGACATGCACAGAGTGGCTGAAATTATAGTGTCCGACAGTCATAACTTATAACATATGATAAAAATAATTGTCTAAATTATGTTGCATATTCCTCAACAGTTCTTGTGATATCACTAGTTGACAACAGTACTATTTTCAGAAATCTTAGGCTATGATATTGTGCAGGCGTATGTGATGCAATGCCGTCAGACTTGTGTGTCAGACTCATTTCAGTGCAAAATAATTAGATAAATGACTTAATATACTCTAAATAGCCAACTAGTTTGTTTATTTAGAACCAATTTAGGCAGACAACAAGGCTACCAAAGTTCTGCGCACAGCGTGCAGCTAATTAACTTTTTTCTAACATGATTTTCAGTCGATAATTTCAGGACTTCAGTCGACCAAGATTTTCTTTGGTTGAGTACAGCCCTAGTAAACTGTTAACTTATGTAAATTATTTAAACATGAGTCAGAGTAGCTACACCATAAAACTTCCCATGAACAGACGTCAATTGTTACAATACAATGTAGCTGCCAGATATTTACCACCATTATTAACTTCATCAGACTTGAATCAAGAATGTCCATAATGTTTAGTATGATAGAGAGAAAATGGGTGGAAAATAAACAAAACAAAATATAATTAAAAAGCATCCGTGGTAAAGTAGCTTCACGCACCTGTGCCAAAATTACTAGTATTATTGGGACATTTATCCTATCACACTAAAAGCTTGTGTTGAAACTTTAAACCATTAAAAATGGTTGGTGATCTTTCAAACAACATGACAAACACTAATCATGGCTGATCTGGTTGGCCAAATAATCTCAGCCCACCCACACACAAAGACTGTACCTGGAACGGCGCTTATCTCCATGCCTTGCTGAATCGGTTGCCACCACCTCCTCCTCTTCCTCCTGCTCATCTTTTTGCAGGGGTTTACGTGGTCGGCTCTTCATGTGCTGGTCAATTGCCTTCTGCACAGGAACAGGTATTCGTGGGAACAATGTTGAGAACCATTCCAGCTTGGTCAGGAAGGAGCGGAGCATCTCTCCGACCGTCATTACACATCCTCCTCCAGCCTTCACGTCCAACTCCTGATCACAGAGACAAGGAAGGAAAATTATTAACACCACAACTTTAGACATGCACTTATCGCATGGCCTCTGTTAACACAACGCTAAGGATTAGACCCAACACCATTACACTGTAAACTGTCCAAAATAAAATGCTTTATTTGTGATGACCAAATACTGAGTCTTCACCTCTGCTCTCACCTGACTTAATATTCAGTATTTAAAAGGTGCCCTAGAATGTGAAATTGAATTTATTTTGGCACAGTTAAATAACAGGAGTTCAGTACATGGACAGGACATACAGTGAATCTCAAACACCATTGTTTTCACCTTATTTAAATCTCATTTTTTTAAACACCCCTGAAAAATAGGTGAATCTCCACGTAACACAGACTGTGACACAACAGTAGGGATCCTTAAAATGTATGCCTCCAAACATTTGCATATGCCAGCCCATGTTCAATGGCAGGCTGAACTGCGCAGCAGAAGCATAGTAGTTGCTCAGTGTTTGGATGGGAACATTAACAAGTATTCTTTAGTTCCTTCATCTGAGACTCTGAAGAAACAATGGCTTAATTTTATTTTCTTTGGAAATGCACCAACAACTTCCCAGAGTTGTGTATGGTCCAAACATTTCACAAACGACTGTTTCCTCAACTTGGGCTAATACAGAGCTGGCCTCGAACGTCTGAAAATAAACCGAGCTACCAAGCAACAATTTCTGATGTGTATTTATTCAAGTTCAGACAGGTAATCTTTCTTGCAAAATCACTCACTACTGTTTATGCATCAGTAAGTCACCATTGCATCAGTGACTAAAATATCAACTTCACATCGTTTCTTTTAGTAGGACGAAAGAAATCTCATTTATATTGTGAATAAATTATATACTGAAAGCGATCAAAGAACAATATTTCAAAAGCGCAAATTTATCTGGACAACTCGTTATGAAATCAATGACGCACGTTACACTGCACAACGAAGCTTTTACTGTAGAGTGCAGACTGAGAGTGCAGAAGCTGCGTTGCAATAAGATTGAAGTAAAAACGTATTCGAGAGAGTTTCGCATGTAATATGTAGCTATTTCATATGCAAGCATGTTGGCCAATCACAGCAGTGGCCAGTTACACTGATTCCCACAGCAGACACGCCCCTTCAAACAGAGCATTCAAACCAGAGGCAAAAACTAGGGAAAATGCCGTTTATTTCTAAAGTATGACTATTTTTGATCTAAAAAACACTAACATAAGGGTAACCCAGGAAACGTTATAAAATAATAAAATAACCCCATTCTAGGGCACCTTTAAAATAATATTGTTGTTTTTGTTTGTTTCACTGTCATTTTGGACTACTTTATGATAGCAAATAAACAGCATTAATGCCATTGTACTAATAACTCATTCACGAGTATATAAATCTGGTCATGTAATGCCCAATCCTCCTTATATAGAATAAAAAGGCATTTTCTAGCCTGCTGGTCTCGTCAACATTTAAATACATGATTTTAAATGGAACTGCCTGTCTGCATTAATTTGTATTATATCAATGTTTAATAGTTCAAATCACTGCATGAGCTTAAAATAATTAACTTCCACAATGTCTCTTACTATGCACTGACTCAAAATAGGTGCGATGCTGAGGAGGTTGCAGGTCAGCTGACATATGATGCACCGGTGACTGTGAAGGGGTGGAGTGGGTAGGTGAGCTTTTCTAACTGCACTCAGGAACGCCAGCCAAGAGTGTGGAGCACACCCTATATCCAATCCACCCGCATCACAAGGGCCATCTGGGAGAGAGAACAGGGCAGTCAGCCAGAGACACACAACCACCATCATGCCTGGCAGCAATGTTTGCTCAATGCGAATAAGATCTCCTTTACTGGAATATATTTTTAAACGGATAATATATTACTAAATACATAATTAGTGGGTGTGCAGGTGCATGAGGGACGAGCCAGAGCCCAGTAATGGATATCTGATATTTACAATAAAATAGAAATCTCTATGAGTCATTGAGAGTGTCATATACAGACTGCCATTATCTGGGCTAAGAGAATATGGCAAGCAATCACTACAGAGGAACCACCTTCACATCTAGCTCAAATGTGCAAAGAATTTGCTTGTGATTTAACTGTGTATATTATAGGGAACATTAAGCCAAATGAGGTCAAAGGTTGAAGGACAGCAATGTGCATCACAATCAGCATATGGCCTAAAGCTTTCTGATTACAACTATGTACATTAGAAATAAGAGAGAGATTAAGGCATTACCCGTGGTGACATACCTCCTCGTCGTCAAGAAACTCATCATACCAGTCAACCAAGTCAGGAGGAGGTTGCGTATACCTGAAATACACATGACATAAGTGTATATTCATTGGGATGTGCTGTGGTCAAACTTAGAAATATACAGTACACCATCCAAAATAATGTAGCATGACCTAAATTATCTTGTATAGGAGTCAAAATCTGCTAAGGGGTAATAATGGAAAAACAGTCTTAAAAAGTGATTTTGACTTACTTACAACAGGCTCTTTAATTTTAAATAAAAGGTTTTTGATATGAGACCATACAAACAGCTTTTGCATTAAACCACTCCTTTCCTAGTATAAAAATGAACTTGCGATAGATGAATGTACATTTTTTGGCAAGCCAAACTTCGTTTGGCAAAATAAATATCATTAACTACTCAAAAACCATTTAGAATGTCTCCAGCACGTTTGAAAAATACCAAAAATCAAACAAATTTCACCCCTTATGCACGGTACCATGTTGGTTGGAATATCAGGACTAAAAACCTTGTCATTACACACTCATGGGCAGCAATCACTTAACCGAATATATGCCGGCTAAGAAATGAATAATTATTACCTTACGATTCCTTCTGTTTTCAAATCCACATCATTTGAATACCACGACATCGATGTCTGTCAAAAAAAATAACGTGCACAATACACGTTAGTATTTACGAGAAGCAGGGGTCCAGCGTGCACACGCATTTCCTGGAAAACCCACACTACCTGAGGTTTTGAACGAGTCTTTCCGATAAGAGGGAGAAAAATGGGGGCTTAAACATGCTGTCTGTCCGAGACGATAACATGCCTAATAAATAACGCACTCAAGTATAAATTAGTTCTTTACTCTAAGTGGTTTAGAAGATTTAACATTTTCTCTAACTTTGATCAATGCTTTAATTTCCCAATAAATTATTATATATATTTTTTTTTTTCATGGTGTGTTACATTTAATTATCACTTAGCAGATTTTGACTCGGATAATTTTGGGCTCTTCTGCTCTACATATTCCTTAGCAAAGGCAACAAGTTTACCTTCCACGGGAGTGTTAAAAAGCTAAACATTAAGAAAAAAAAAAGACAATTGAAAATAAACTCCTGAAACAAAGAAACTCAGTTAACGTTAAAACATCTGAGGTGGATCCAAGTCATACCTGATGTACATAAAGCCCAGTGCCCTGATATAGGGTGAATCTGTGTGGGTGATGAGACCCATCACTTGTTTGCGGGTCAGTTTCAGTGTGAACAGCTTATACAGCAAGCAAAATGCAGTGGACACGATCCCACCAGTCCCAACTCCTCGAACCTGCAGGACAAACATCATGAGATTTAAAGCTAGACACGTTTTAGATCAAGTGAATCTCTCCCTTTATTTAATCAAAATGACGAAGAGGATGGGAGGATGAAGTTGGAGGTCTCAAGGCACGTACTTCTACTTACCCCTCCGCACATTCCCGTCTGTCCCGCTGTCTTCCTGCTGCCTTTTTCCCATGGCTCCACATGATTGACCTGATAAAGACATTTAAATTAGATTAACATTAGACTTAAATGTATTCAAACCTGGCAAAAAATTGAATACAACTATATTATACAACTCACCCCTGTTCTAAATAATCACCAAAATCACATCAATCCAACCACACGCTTTTTTCAAAATAAATAAACTTGTATTAGTGCACTAGTGAAGCTAATCATTTTAACCTTAAACACTTTTACTTACAGATAATTCTTTAAAATCAGAATCGTGAAAAATCATTAAAATAGAAAAGACATTAGAATTTTATTTGTTGCAACAGTACTGGCTAATGCAAAGTTATGATTTTAGTAGTAGAAATAAAGCTGTTCATAGTACCAAGAACAACAGAGAAATAATATTAAAATCACTTTAATAATTTTCTTTCCATCTGATTAAAGATAAAACACTGACAACTAATCAGTTTAAACGGACGTTTCACCCAAAAATGCTGTCATCATTTACTCACACTCAAGTTGTTTCAAACCTCTATGAATTAATTTCTTCTGCTGAATACAAAATAATACATTTAGTATAATATGGGAAACCAAACAGTTGATGACCCCATTGACTTTCATTATATTCAGAATAAAATACTGTTTGGTTACAGACATTCTTCCAAGTATCTTCTTGTGTGTTCAGCAGAATAAAGAAATGCATGCAGGTTTGGAAAAACTTGTTAGATGGGGGTATAAATCACACAGTGTAACGGTAGCTTAATTTATTTAAATGCTTTTCCCCCTCAAAATTAATTTTGTCATTCTCCAGTACAAATATCTCAACTTATGTAGCACCTATGTACACCAAACTTTCCAGTTATACAACTAGCAGTACTCTGAAGATTTTTTTATTCTGACAATTATTTTTCAGAGGGATTTGTTAAAAAACATTCCTAGTCTGTTTTTTTGTGACATTTTAATAATAATATAAAAAAGACGAAAACCGATTTAAGGGTATGGACAGTATATTTTTTTGTCCTAGGTAATGAAAGCATATCATGATATCATGAAATCCCTCTGAACATTTTTTCCATCCTATGTGAGGAATTTTGGAACCTGGCTTTATCATGTTGAGATCTATCTACCAAAAATATATGCAAATCACACATTTAATGAGAAGGCCCAATTTGCATGATTTCATACAAATTTGAAAAACTTGTAATACTCTTTTATATACTAGTGTAAGTAATCAACTGAGCACGTTTCATGGTATCGTTTAAAACGTTTACCCTATTCACCTGTACTGTCTCGCCTTAATAACTAAACTGCTGTTGCTGTTATCTGGAACCATAAATACCCATTTACTTCACTATTCGGAGTCACTATTTGTTGAATGCTTTTCAAAACAATTAAAGAAAATTGTGACTGAAGCGGTCAATAATATATTAAAAAGACAAAGTTATAGGGTTATATATATATATATATATATATATATATAAAGTCAGTGATACGAGTTTTGAACAACATGTGGATGAGTTGATGACAAAAGATTAATTTTTGAACTTAAGCTAGTAACTTAATTGCTGTAGCTAACGTTACATTTGAACTAAGTTAGCATAGTTAGCCTTTATGGCCCAACACGGTCTTCTTTAGCATACATCATAAACAAAGCAAAATTAGTTAATTAAATTAAAAATATATATATTTAAGGTTACGTCTAAAAGAAAAATAACAACAAATGAGCCATCTACTCAAAGAATCAATAATATGAAATGGAAAAGTAAACCGCGGGCTTCACGGGATGCGGCCCAGGTTTGTTTCACCACCTTGAAGTAAATCTCGTCAACCACCTCGTGGTACGTCTTGAGTTCGTACAGCTGCACCTTGAAGTAGGGAGACGACAGGACGTTAGTCAGGATCATCGGGTTGAGGTTCATAGTCTTCTCGTTGCCCCATAACGGCAAAACGTTGCCGTGTTTCCCGCCGGCCGGTTTGCTCACGGCCTGCTGCTGTTGTTGCTGCTGACTAACCGCCATGGCTGGGCTTTCACAACGCCATTAAAATTCACAACTAAATAAAATGACCGTTACCCCAAACGAATATATCTACAACGCGTCAAACGAGGCGCGCGAGTGGTGGACCGACGTATCTTAATTCATTCGAATTAATTTTATATATCTTTTGACTGTTTTCTATGTAATGCTGGAAGACGCACGGGAAACGTTCTGTTACGCCGAGACGAGTTGTGGGGACAAGATGGCGCGCGGAAGAGGGGCGGATGGCGGAAATGGAAGCAAGCATGTGGGTTGCCATGTGTGTAACAGTGAAATACGCCTCACCAAAAGGAAGAAATTTGTGCAAACTGCGAGAAAAATCATCTATCGTTCCATGTGTTTAAACCCATGGCTTAAATATTTATGTAGTCCAAAGTGAAAACAAAATATTTCTGTCACTGGGTGGAGAAAAAGTTAATTGCTTTTCCTAGGAGGATGTTTACAAATGACATGGCAACACGGTCCTCCAGCGTGGTTCGACTTCGACATGGCTTGTTCCTGATGTCTTGCAGAGGCCATAATATGATACTTAATCATATACTATTAGTGTTTGGTTGGCATTGATGGTCCAAATGTCATTTTCTTGCCCATTAGGGTTAAGATTTGTGAACAGTAAAGTACTTCTACAGCAAGTTTATAAGATATGGACTATTATGTGGAGTGTTACATTATATAGTTTACGTTGATATAATTCATAATACAATTGTGAATTCATAAAGAAAAAAAAAGCACTCAACAAGAGCCACATTAGATGTGCAAAAAGACAACTGCCAGGCAAATCAGCAATATGATGACAAATCAAAACTACAGAACCAAATATTATATAATGGTTTTATTTTTTTAAACAAAATTTACGTTATTCTTAAAATGCAACATATTACATATTGAATTTTGACTGTGCATTTAATTACATATATTTTATGCAAAAAACAAACAATAAAAAAAAATAAATCAGGGAAAGACGTTCATGGTTGAATTTTTATTTTTTTTTGGTTTCTGTAGGCAGTATTCAAAAAATATGAAACAGTAATTAAGAAACCTTCAGGTATATACTTGATGACCTTTATTATTTGAAACGTCAGACATTTCTTTCTTCCCCCCCCCCTACTTTTTAACTTTTATGTTACAACTGAAAAACCAGAACATAAATGAAATCCACATTTTCTTTATATACAACTAACTAAAAATATACATCTCTGTAATCTACAATATGAAATCTGATAAACAGTTCTTTTTGTTAACCTTTAAAATTGGCACATTTTTTTTCAAACAAATACTTGCAATAATAAACTCATTTTCAATCCCTTAAAAAAATAAAAGGATCCTGCTTAACTGAAAAGAGAATGCCTGTAAAACTAATTTGGATTATGCCATTTTAACAGAGGCTTCTCATTTCTAATGACTTGAAAAACAGTCAAGTATACCAGTTAGTAACTCACTAGTTTGTGGCTTTATTTGACATGGTGTTGAACCAATATAGCACAGACCAGCTGTCCTCTGTTTACAGTATAGTTATAAAGTTTTCTTTTAAATTAACATATTATTTGTAACATTTAGACTACCTTTATGGGTGGTTTCACAAAAAGACTTCTATCAGAAATATGATTTCAAGTTTCAAGTCTACTTGAAATCAGTAGTATACTAAATATACTAATAATATAGTATAATTTATTTTTTCCCCGTCTTCAAATTAGCAGCATCCGCTAAAGGAAACACAGGACAGTCCAAAGTGCATCAGTCCATGTCATTTGATTGAGTCCATCCATGTGATGTTTTTTTTTTTTTTTTTTATACAAAAAAAGTTCAAATAAAATAGGTCTGAAATACTGCAACACACCTTTTCGATTACACCAGTGGTTCTCAGTGACCTTTAACCATCTATTTTTGGTAAAAGAGTACCAATCCAAGCATTTCCTGTTACTGTGAGTTTAAGCAAAGCTTTTGTCTATCATCAGAGCTTGACCAGTAGGGGGAGCAGTGATGTCACAAATCCCTAGAGCCCATGAATGTGTCAGGAGCCCAGTATAGAACTGCTGCTTATGATTGAAGACAACTGCTGTCTCCTCCTTTGACCCAGGATATTACATCACCTTCCACCGTGGATGTTCAGTCTAGCGTTTTATAACCACCTGTTCAAAAGCTCCAGCACCAACCCTGAATGACAGAAAGGGAGAGAGAAAGAGACGAATTATATTAAATTACTAAATTACATTGCCACCATACCAGAATTAAATGAGCAAAATACCTCTCTACCTCTCAATAACATGCTTCCCATAATGGAAACACAATGACACAATGGACATGCATCACACGAGGACAGCATAAGCAGAAGCTGTGGTGACCTTGCGGCAGGGATGTTAGATAATATATCTCACCTGGTGTGCTGAGAGCCCAGTGCTGTGCTTCCTCCTGGCCCAACAAACAGACGAAGACCCTCCTCTGCAACACACGTATTTAGACTATATTGACTTTTTTAAAAAAAGTAAAAAATAAACATATCAAATGATGAACACTAAAATGGGCAAAAGCATCTCTTATACTTTCACTGAAGAGGGAACTTGAGTCATATTTAGGGGTCACAATATCATTTTTTACCACCAGAGCTCTAGCAACCACACATAGCAATCCCTTAACATTACAGCATCAACTTTTGAATGAACAAGCACCAGTTTGAAGCCATTCTGGTCATACACGACATTTATGTACATGCGCATATAATCATCATATTACAATGATTTCTAAAGGATCACGTGAGACTGAAGACTGAAGTAATGGTGCTGAAATTCAGCATCACAGAAATACTGTAGATGAAATGCATTAAAATAGAAACCAGTTAATATGACTGTTTTTACTGTATTTTTTATGAAATAAATGCAGCCTTGAGGAGAATAACAAACTTATTTAAAAAACATTAAGCTATATTATATATATATATATATATATATATTACACACACTCACCTAAAGGATTATTAAGAACACCATACTAATACTGTGTTTGACCCCCTTTCACCTTTAAAACTGCCTTAATTCTACGTGACATTGATTCAACAAGGTGCTGAAAGCATTCTTTAGAAATGTTGGCCCATATTGATAGGATAACAGATTTGTGGGATCATGATGCACATCCAGGGCACGAAGCTCCCGTTTCACCACATTCCAAAGATGCTCAGATCATGTGACTGTGGGGCCATTTTAGTACAGTGAACTCATTGTCATGTTCAAGAAACCAATTTGAAATGATTTGAGCTTTGTGACATGGTGCATTATCCTGCTGGAAGTAGCCATCAGAGGATGGGTACATGGTGGCCATAAAGGGACTGACATGGTCAGAAACAATGCTCAGGTAGGCCGTGGCATTTAAACAATGCCCAATTGGCACTATGGGGCCTAAAGTGTGCCAAGAAAACATCCCCCACACCATTACACCACCACCAGCAGCCTGCACAGTGGTAACAAGGCATGATAGATCCATGATCTCATTCTGTTTACGCCAAATTCTGACTCTACCATCTGAATGTCTGAACAGAAATCGAGACTCATCAGACCAAGCAACATTTAACTAAATGCATTGAAGCAACTGCCATGTGATTGGTTGATTTGGTTGATTAGGTGAGTGTGTGTGTGTATATATACAGTATATATATATATATATATATATATAGAGAGAGAGAGAGAGAGAGAGAGAGAGAGAGAGAGAGAGAGAGAGAGAGAGAGAGAGCGAGAGAGCGAGAGAGCGAGAGAGAGAGAGAGAAAAGTTGTAGTGGCAGCTGCAGGTTTAATGTTGCTGTCTCTGAGGTCTATCCATGAGTCAGAGAGAGAAGAGGGGAAATTCAATCATCTGTTTGTTTGAGACTGTAGTAACCATAGTAATCTTTTATTTTGACAAAACCACAATGTGGTGCATAGTAATGCAACTGTGCATCTGCAGTAAAACACAACTCAGAATTTCCTTATTCTATAGTTTGTGTCTACTGATCTGAATACAGTTTGTACCCACTATGGGACAGTGGAACACTCTGTGGTGTAGTGTGAAGCTCTGCACGACTTGGTCATACAAAACATGTTTTCGTGTGTGTGCCCGCCATTGGTTGTTTCTCCATAGCAACCTGTTGTTATGGAGATATGAATGATGTTCAAATGTAAACTATATATTTTTTTTGTATTTTTAAGCCATTCAAAATATTTATAGAGGTAGGCCTATTTCTGTCTTTATATATGCATATGTGTACCCTCCCTGCCAAAACATAATTTAGCCCTGGTACCTTAAACTCCACTTATACTGTGCATATGTTTTTATTTGTGTTTATAATGTTACATTTTTTTTTACATAAATGCTATTTTTTTTTAAAAACTTTCTACTCATCGAATCCTACATTTTTTTTTTATCACTTTCCACAAACAACTAAGAAGCAACTGATCATGCGACAGTGAAGACTGGAGTAATTCACCTTTGCCATCACAGGAATACATGACATTTTAAAATATATTAAAATAGAAAACAGTTGTCTTAAATAGATAAAAATACAGTTATTGTGAAATATTATTACTAGGAAATGCAGCCTTGTTGAACTTGGTGAGACTTTTTAAAAAAACATAAAATACAAGTAAAATCCTTTTTTTTTTTTTACCTCTATAAGATCTGGACTATAAATAATACATGTATCAAGGTGCTTTGTGTATTTCAGGAAAGGTCGGTTAAATCAAAGTTGTTCTAATTGTACCTTCATTACTAGAATCCAGTATGCTGTGGCTGAAGTCCTGACCCTGTAGGATCGTCTCAATGATATCATCAGCATCCACTCTGGTAGCGTCCATTCGCTTTAGTTGACACTCAACCGAGTCCTGCTTTACAGGGTGCCTGAAATAAAAACATACACATTTTGTTCATGGCTTCATTTAAATGTTTCTCTGAAAAACATCTTTCAGGAAGAGTTAAAGTGCATGTTTACCTGTTGGCTGTGATCCCACTGTGTGACGGTGTGGCTAAGTCCTGGGGCAAAGGTGTGCGGGACTCTCTGTCCTCACTGGGCTCTGGTAGACTGCCAATCCCAGTGGAGGCACTTCCCGCAGACAAGTTCCTCCTATGCGAGAGCTCCGTCAGGCTGGAGGAGCACGAGTGACCTGTGCTGTAGCCTACAAGGATGTCCAGACTCATCAATATTATGATATAATATTATGTAAAAAGCCAAAGTATAATAGAATAACTAGTGGTGCACGAAATATCGGCCGCCGATATAATATCGGCCGATATGGTCAATTTTTTACACATCGGTATCGTTCTGATGTCAAAATAGGGCCGATGTGAACAGGCCGATAATCAATCCTGTGTATTTGCGTGTGTGTAGACGTGAGTGTATGGCAAGCCGTAATTTAAAGTTAATACTCCTTCCCGTACTAGTCATAAATCAGTTTTGACTAGTCATAATTCCAGTTCCAGATATCTCTTCTGCAATTTTGACTTGTCGTAATTGCAATTAAGATATCTACAATGTGATTGTGACGAAAAAAAGGTTTAAATGCTAAAACGGCTTGCCATATGAGTGTGGGGATGGGGATGTTTTGTTTTTGTACGAGCGAATACATTTCCAGCTGAAGTTCTGTCAGTTTAAACATCAAGCGCAAGAAGACTGGAACTTGCGCACCGTTTTCGGTCAGCCTTACTTTTGTCCCACCAAAGCCTTTTTTGAGTGGTGAGTGATGTAGATGACTGATTGCTGCGCTTGTTTAACTAAGAGAAGGAGCAGAGAGATTGAAAGCCCCGGTAGCGCGCACCATCTTCAATCTGTCTTGCTCTCTCTCCCTCCCTCGTGCATAATAATGAATTGAGTTGACTGAATAGGCTTTATGCACGATCGCTTCCGCGTTTTGTCTCAGCCTGCCCAGTTACATCTGGTGAAGCCGGTTTTGCTTTAGGTGGAGATAGTGTCAAATTACAAAATTGCATACAAATTGCTGTTTACAAAAACTTCCTGCGGTTAACGTGAACGATATTAACAACACTGTGAGGCAGTTGGCTGTCACACATAAGAGTAAAAAAGAAAAGGGCTTTAAATGATATATTTCGAGCTACATCGACAACTTTGAGGGTGAGAATTCTCTCATATCGTGCAAAATCTGACTAGCGAATCAGTTTCTAAAATCTTTGTTTCCGTGTGAAAATGAATTTTATTCAAGTTTTGAGGAAGTAAACCAGCTGGCTGGCTAAATCTTTGAGAATACACAATGGTAAAAGATCAGAAGACCGAAGTTTTTTACCACTGGTTGTGAATTGTGTTAAAATAACATTGCCCTATCTTCTCTGAAAAGCTTTCCACAGATAGGTTAGATGACAAACCACACTAAAAAAAAAAAAAAAAAATCCATCTAGTGATGAAATGTTTTCTGTATTGAGACAAATCTAGTGCGATATGCTAAACTGCCTAGTTAATCACACAACGTGTGCCGTGGTCCGTTAATGACACGTCAGATTTGCGAACTAATGACTCATTTGAACCGATTCACTTTAATGAATGGTTAAAACAACTGATCTGTCCAACACTGAACTCAAGAGACATACATCAGAAACACTTCCATTTATTAAATTCTAGAGTACATTAGTTACAATTCAAGTTTCTATGCGGATTTACTCCATGACAAAACCACCCCTGTCAGTCAGTTCTAGAATGATTCATTCTTTCCAAATTGAGCTATTCAAGTCATCTGGTGAAATTGATTTTATATCGCAGAACAATAAACGCAATGACATTTGTTTACCAATATCATGCAGCCCTAATCCTCACTATGTGTTTTCTATACAGAGATATCGACATCGCTATCGACCATAACAGCAATATTAATATTGGTTATCGGTATCAGCCACAATTTTCACATCAGTGCATCACTAAGAATAACAGAAAAGCAATACATTTGGTGTGAATGAACAGACCAGATAACTTGGACTGCTGGCTGGCGTAACTGGCGTTTCTTGAGTGGCCACACTTTCCAACTTCATCTGGAACAGAACCATGACTTAAGCCACCTTTTCCTGGGTTTTCTAGAAGATAAAATCCAGTGGATTGTTAGCGTCATTGTGAATTTTGGGATGGTTGAAATGCAAACTGGTGTTTTTTACTCAAGAGTAGGGATGTGCCCTGGTGATGGAAAAAATATGAGATGGGAGTAGAAATTATATGTCAATGTTTTTGTGTACGCTTTTTGTAAGACTGGGAAAACCGGAAGAACTGGAAGAGAGGGCTACTCCCTAAGAAAACAAAGGAAATTAATATTCAGTGGTGGAGGAAGTACTGAATCTCAGTACTTAAGTAAAAGTACAAATACCCAGATAAATATTTACTTTAGTAAAAGTAGAAGTAACACAATGACAACCATACTTAAGTAAAAAGTACTTTATTTTAAATGTACTTTAAGTATTAAAAGTAAAAGTACTTGCATAACAATTTATTATCTTAATGTCTATTTTCTAATGATTAATAAAACATTTAATTCTAACTCATTCAACCTAATAGCCTACTCCTATAATGATGTTCAATAATGATGGAAAAAAATGTCACCATTTCTGAAACAAGCTTGCAATTAGGCAATACACATCATCCTTACTATATGTTAATAACTATGTTTGGCAGTAAACGAGATTCATTTATGGTGTAATTCTGAACCTCTTGGCTTGCCATAATCCTAACCAAACCAAACATATATTACACACGGTGTGTTTCCTATGCACGTAAAAACAAATTTTCGCGTATGAGTTGCACGATAAACACACTGCGTGTGAGACGCATTAGTGTGACCGGGTTGATTTACTGTATCTATGACAACCAAACGTCACTGGTGAGACAAACGTGCAACGAACGGACGGTCAGCATTTGATGTTTTGTTTTGATTATCCGTGAATTGATTATGTAATTGGTAAATTGATAAATTGTTAAATTTGATTTTATTCTGACTTATTTTCCTAATTAGATTAAACTAAGTCTAGATTTGAGTGGGGCATAGGGCACACCAACTGCGATTTTAGAGTTCCGGCTAATATTTGGTACCAATTCAAGTGTATTTGGGCTGCAGAGGCTAAAGAATTTCCGTTTAGGACAGCAAAATCAACCAAACTATATAGGGTGGGTCTTACCTCTGTTTTAATGTAACGTTACTCTATTTAACTGTACGTGGGAAACCATGGCATGACCAAACCAAAGCTACTACCAGAGAAGTAATATTGGTTAGCTTATATAGTATATATCATGACCTCTGAATGTTTTATTTATTATTCACGCCTTTCCGAATAAGGTATTCGGCTTCTGGCACTGATCCCTAACTAGTAATAAGAGAATAACATGCACTACCTGTCAATAGTTTGCAATCATTTTGATGTTTTAATGTTTTTGAAATACATTATTTTTTTATGCATACCAAAGCTGCATTTATCAAAAATATAGTGAAACCAGTATAAATTTAATTAAAATAACTGTTTTGTATTTTAAAGGGCACCTATTATGTCCTTTTTCACAAGATGTAAAATAAGTCTCTGATGTCCCCAGAGTGTGTATGTGAAGGTTTAGTTCAAAATACCAAACAGATCATTTTTTACAGCATGTTTAACCCGTCACTTTTTGGGTCTGAGAAAAATGTGCCGTTTTAGTGTGTATCCCTTTGAATGCAAATGAGCTGCTGCTCGAGTCATTGAACCTCACAAGCTCGCCCTCAGTGGCAGGACAATCTCATCTCACGGAATAATAATATCAAAACAAAAACTCAATAGCGGTGTTCATTTTGACCCGACTCGGACAATAATGCCCACAGAGCCAGAGAATACGTATATGCTGTATGTTGTCATCTGCTTTTATCCACTATTAATACAAGCCTGCTGTAGCGGATCCAGTCCGAATGATGGCCAAAAATATACTGATGAGTTCAATAAAGTTTATTGCACATCACACTAAAGATGAAGCATCAGTGTTACTCCAGAAAAATCACTGTAAGAGCTGAATAAACACAGTATAAGAAGATGAATGAAAGTCTTAAGGGGTTGGAACAACATGTGGGAGAGTAATTACAGACAGAATTAAATTTTTTGGGGTAAACTAACCCTTTAATAAACTGGTAAACTTTATATCCGTAACACGACTCGGATGAACTGTAATAAAGTGCGCGCTTTCACTTTCATTTCTGCCGTGATCACTGATCAGTAACATAAGGCCTATCGCTCTGGAGACTGTAAACTGGATCACGAACAGCTGGTACAGATCCATCTTCGAGTAACAACGAGAGTAAATGACGACTGCTATGTTCATTCTTACATCCAACAACAAACCACCTCGATCGCTTAGAAGACATTCTTGTCTACAGCTGCTCAGTGTCGAAGTAATGGCTGAGTGTGTACAGCTCACTCAGGGCAGGTCTATGCTAATACGGCAGTGTCCGTCAACAGTTGTGGGAGGGGCTTGAGGAAAAAATTCATCGCATTGCCCCGAATCTAACAACGGGTTGTTCTGAGACAGTGCTTATAATTTATGGGGATTTAAAAAAAGAAAGTTCTTCGAGTAGAAAGTTCAAAAGAACAGCATTTATTTGAAGTAAAAATCTTTACATTATTCATAAATGTCCTTACTATGACTTTAGATCAATTTAATGTGCCTTTGCTGAATAAAAGTAAAACTACCATTCAAAAGTTAAGCAGCAAAAACTGTTTTACATACATTACATAAATGTAGCGTAAAAATATTTGGTAGTTTATATAGGTGGTAGATTTTTTTCTATGTGTGGATTGTCAAGGTACCTGTACAGGTAAGAGTTGCTTTCTGTGTCTCTCCTCTTCTGTCCTCATGTAGACATGTCTCTGTGTCTCCCGGAAAACCAATGGTCATTGATGTGGATGGAGGCCTGGAAGAATAAAGAAAATGTCACCATTAAAAACATGTAACTGGAAATCATAACTGTAACTGGAAATCATAAATGTAATCAAAAATCTGTAAATCATAAATGTAACTGGAAATCATCAACAAAAAAAGACGTTGTTGCATTTACAAAAATCACATAATATAATAATAATACTATTCTTAACTTCAAATTAATATTTTTTACAAAACATTATTTTTAGTGCCAGATTTACTAAACAGGGCAAAGTAGCAGGAGAGCAAGACCCGATGGAAAGTTCTGCGCTTGATCCACTGATGCAACAGGAATGAATGAACACAGATGCAGCCAGATCATTTCCATAATGACCATTACAATCTACCAATTAGCTTCTGGTTTAAGACATGCTTTTTAGGGACCAAACACCAGTGAATTGAATAGCGTAAACCATAGTAAATCTTTAGACTCCTACATTCCGGCTCCCAATTGTTTGCCCAAGAGCCTCAATATTTTGAAAGGTCAATATCAGGAGGGAAAAAAAAGTCAGGGAGAAAATACAAAAGCAGAATGAATATGTAAAAAAAAAAATAAATAAATAAATAAATGGATAGACTGTCTTGATGCACCAAAAAAAAAAATATATATATAAACATAACTTGTTAAAATTACAGGAAGTATAAATGAAAACTAGACTGAAATGAAAATGTGAGTGGTGCTTGCCGTGGCAAAATTCTGTACTATGCAATTAATAGGGTATTTTCTGTGATTGCTAGAAAGCAAACTCCCAAGTCTGTACAATGTTCTGGACTGGTGCTGAGATATGGGGTGTTAGTTTTGCCATTACATTGCTAGGGTGCTCTAAATTGTTGACTAGACAGTTATCAGGGTGATAGTAATAGACAGGACAGATGCCTTCCTGAATCAAAAGAGCCAACCCCTTTTTCTCTATGATGTTCTGAAACTGAGATACAGCTTATTCATGCTGTCATACAGTTGATAGGGTTTTATAAATTGTTGCTAGGGCATGGCCAAACAGCTTTCAGTTAAATATTTAAAGACTACCTGTCAGTCTGTATCAAAAGAGCCCATCCCCGAGTCTCTTGTTGTTGAGTCTCTGTTGTTCTGCTGCAGAGACACAGCCAATTAATTTTATTCTATGGTTGCTAGGGTGCTCTAAATGGTTGCTAGGGTAGACAGTTGCCAGGGTGATATTTAAAGACTACATCTTTAAATCAAAAGAGACCACCCACTTGTCTGTAGAATGTTCAGATATGATCCATTCTTTTTTCAATATTAAGTCTATGGGGTGGTTGCTAGGATACTATAGACCATTTTGCAAGGTGTAAACAAAACTGGTCCAGAATCACTTCCTGTTTCAGTTTTTTAACACTACATAAAAGTTGGGATAAAATACAACCAACAGAACATATAATAGTGAATCAAAAAGTTAAACACATATGTTTAAGATTTTTTCTTTACATGTGAAATAAAGAAAACAGTTACAAACTAAAACAGGAAGTGTTTCTGGACAGTGTTGTTTACATCTTGCAAAATGGTCTATAACTGGTTGCTAGGGCATAGCTACAAAAGTTTAAATGTAACTATATATTGGCTACTTGCTAAGCCGAGTCAAATGAGCCCACCACAATTTGGCATTCTGATGCGGAGATACAACCTCACATATTTACGGCAATGTAAATCTATGGGATTTTATTTCGACCACTTTTTTTGCCCGCCGGACGAACATTGTAAGATAAATTAAGTCACAGCCCACCTATCCTCAATATAAGCCATATGATTTGACACCACATTCATGGGTCTACAATAAAAGGTGCGGCATGAGTTACATAATGAAGTTTTGTCCAGAAGAATAATAAGTAAGAGGAATAACAATAGTGATGCAAGCACCACTAATACGGTTAAAAAAAAAAAAAAAAAAAAAAAGAGGTTGGAAAAAAAAGTCCAATGTTTCAAGAGAATAAATAAATCAAACAACTTTTGTTACTTTAAGATATTTTTGTATCTTCTGAAGCTCAAAAATCTCCAATTCGTAAATGAACAGCATGTAATTTAAAAGTATGGAATTATTAAAATTTCTCCAGTGTTCAAAGTCATAAAGGGTTGAAAAAATAAATAAATAAAAAAGGGCGAGTAAAAACTGAACCCAGCCAGGTCATGTAAAGTATATGGAACAAATTAGTGTTGGGCGATATGCTCCATTTTCATATCGTCCTATCGTCAGCCTGTGAGATCGGCGATACACGATAGTATCGTGAGGGGGCGGGGCTAACATTTGATTATTAACTTGATTATTTAGCCTACTCATTAATTTGCTTGTTTTATATACGAGAATATTTTTTCTATTTTGCTAGCAAAGGTGGAGTGTTTATTAATAGGATCAGGTTATTTCCTGGTATAGTGAGGTAAAAAAAAAAAAAAAGAGATCCTAATCCTTTTATTTGTCAACGGGAAATTTACGGACACATTAGCCTATCCTCATGCCGTTACATGAAGCATTTTGACTAGGGCCTATTTCTGCACGAGATGAAAACACGTTTTAATAATTTCTTGGGTCAGAAAAAGCCCTAGCAGTGCGCTCTTTGCGCACTTCACATGCGCACTTCAGTAAGCACGAAGTACGCGGGTTAATGTGTTTTAAATGCCGGGAGAAACAAGAGCAAGGGCCAAACGTCTAGCTGAGTCGATCGGTTTATACTTATGACTTGACTCAGATAAAGGAAACGTTTACATGACCACATGCATTGTCAAGTTTATTCAACATAATCAGGTTAAGAAAGTCGTCGCATGTAAACGCGCTCAATCTCTGAAAGTGAAAGTAAAAACGGACTGCTTTCGGCATCTGCATTAACGCCGCGTTCCCTCAGAGACGACGATGATAACGGTAACTATAATACTATTTTAGTGATATTATTATTAATACTATTAAGTAATTGTATTGTTTTTAGTGTTAGTGTCATTAAACGTTTTGTTAATGTGTTACGGAAACAAATACTGACGAACAACGATGCCGTTTTCATCTTGGATCTGTAGGAAATTGAATTTTGCTTCTGTTAAAACGAGCACACTTGATAATTTGTGAATGGATCACCTTGCAATTAAATTTTGATGTGGGATGTTTTTTAGTCTGTTTTAAAAACATTCTCTTAGAGGAGTCCTCATTAGTGTGCTGATGCAATTGTTATGAGGTGATGTCGTTGTAAATTTAGGCAAGGCAAATTGATTGTAGTTCCTAATATTCATTTAATAACAATACTAGCTTTATAATAATAATAATAGGCCTAATAATAATAATTTAATACATTATGGTAAAACGAGCCAATTATCGTATTGATATCGTCAAAGGCATCTGCCATCGGCGATATGTCAGACTATCGTCGATACACGATACTATCGTCTATCGGCACAACCCTAGAACAAATAATCTATAAACCACTGATTTCAGAAGGATATTAATCTGACATGTCACTGGTTTTAGTGCCTCTAAAATGACAGTGACATAAAACTATGACGTACCAGCCAGAGCTAAAAGCACTTCAGGCGCAGTATGAGCACTCCCACACACACTATCACACCTCTCATAAACACATACTCACAGGGAAACACCACCAAACACTTTGATTTAGCACTCGGAGTGCGTATGACTATTTTTGACAACCAACTATCCACGGTGAAGGAATAATACAACTCTCACTGAATCACATTTCAAGAGGATAAATATATTTTATATCAGGTTAATGATATTTTCCACGGCCCAACCCAACCCTTACCTCTTTTAAACTAGTGGGGACCAGTAAAATGTCCTCGCAAGTTGATTGACACGCACACACACACACGTTTATTTGAGCTGTGTGCCAACTCGCTTATATAACAGGAAGCACATCTTTCAATGTGTCAGGGTGCTTTTTGAGATGATACATTTATCTCCCACTAAATGTCAACTATTTCAACATACACGCAAACGCATGCTGCACAGTTACACTGATATGAAACCATACCAAATGTACTCCTTCAAGTCTGTTTAAGCAGAATCAGATCAGCATAGAGAGATAAAGCATCAAAATAAAGATAACTTATAAACAAAAAAAGTTAATTATTGACATTAAAAAAAATAAAAGTAATTTTCTATTACAAACAACCTTGGCATTACCAGTGCTGAATAACATTTAATTACAATAACATTTAACACAAGAAACATTTCTTATTGCTATCAATGTTAAAAACAATGTTTTTTTTTTAATTCTTTCAGAATTCTTTCATGAATAAAAAGTTCAAAAGAACAGCATTTACAGTCACTTTTGATCAAATGAATATTAAAGGTTAATATTATAATTAATATCTTTTAAAATAGAAATACCCCAAAACTTTGAACGGTACAGTAAACCTGCCACATGAACTAATTTTCTGAGGTTATAGGCTGCAGACACTAAAAAAAAAACACACACACATGTGTGTTTGGCTAAAAGCTACCAGGAAGTGGTTGAATCAGACTTCCTGTGTTTATGCGGTCCCAGACATTGGTGTCAGACAAACCGTATTTCACTGCGGAAGAACACTGGCGCAAACTCACATACTGGCATCTGCACACGACAACATAAAAGCATCACGACAGCTGTGCCTGAATTGTCACATCAACAAGGTCATTCTAAACCGCTGGGTTCCTCAATGTAATATCAATAATATCTTGTTGAAAAGACCAGTTTAGACCAGAATGAATTGCTGGTTTGGCATTGATCTAACTGGGTTAACAGCAAATCTCCACTATGGCTAACTATGGTCACAAGTTCCATCGTTACCAACACAGTTCAATGGAACCTGCGACCATAGTTGGCTAACGATGATTTGGGAAAACACACCCCAGCATGGTCTTTTTGTCTCATTCATTATGCCTCGTTAAACCAGGTGGTTCGAAGCTGAGGAAAAGCTTCAAAACATATGCTGGTCTTTTCAAATTTGAATATATATAAATTAAGGGAGAACTTACGTTTTAAAGCAGGGATCGCCCGACATTAGCTGCATATTGATTATCACCTAGAAAAGGAGAGACAGGTGGTGAATAGTTATATTTAGATGTAGCAGATTGAATATTTCATTAACACCCATTACCCACTGAAAACATCAAATACTGGAGTATTGTGTGATAAATTGTATTTTCATGAAGGATATAGCCATGGCTCTAATATCTGATTGAATGAGCCATGTTTGAAGCTACTGTAAAATAGCCCAGATAAACATAAATTGATGAATTAACATATATATTGTACAAAGTTGACGCTGTTTTCTAAAAGTCATAAACACAGAGCTTAGTCAAAGGGGTTTACGATTCTATGTTTTGCATAATTCCTTTGGAATAGAGAATAGATATACTTTTTCACGACTGATACAGATCGCTATTATGTTGAAAACGCATAACGTGGGAGTAGATAAAAAAATCTTTATTAATATCCAGAGAGATAACACAACCACTTAACATCGACGATAACGGACAAATGAACTAGGGAAACTCAGGGCTTAAACACAAGGAACAAACAAAGGGAACTAGAATAATCGTGATTAAACGTAGCAAAAAAATAGAGCATGAATGAGTAACCTTTTGGAAACTTTAGTTAATTTTTAAAAACTACTATGGGAACTAAACCTACGGGAACGAATATGAATAGGCAAACAGGAACAGAGCAAACAGAGAGAAAATGAATCTAAAATAGAACATACATGTTTGGTACATGAGAACCGCTGTTGGGTGGTTATTAAAAATGGTACCATTTACCAGCAAACCCAATACGAAAAAATACTTCCTGCATACATGGTAAAATAACTGTCATGCTCTGTGTCACACGAGTTTTTCTATAATAAACTTGGTTTCTATAATAAATATGGTAACATGTATGTTTCCAACTGTTAGACTGCAGTGATTCAAGTTCAAAGGTGTGCATGGATCTCTACAGATATTAGTGAAGGCCTGTGGAATTATGTTTGCCCTCCAAACGGCTTCAGGCGAAGGTGGAAGGATACAGGGCTGTGGAATTCTGGGGGCGCTGTGAACAGCTCTAGGCGTAGGTGGGGGTTGTGGATTGGAAAACACAGCTCAACACAGGCCGGAGCATGACAGACATAACCCACATGAAACGGAACAACACCGCACACAGATCCGAGAGGACCCATCCCCTAGCAACTGCATATTTATGATATAAATTAAACGAAAGGATACAATGTAGAGAGCATGTGATCTCAAGACAAACAGGGCAAGTGTGTCAATCTCTTTGTGTACATCTGCATTATAAAATCCTAATATAATAAAATTTTTATTTCGGGTGAACTATCCACTACACTCACCTAAAGGATTATTAGGAGCACCATACTAATACTGTGTTTGACCCCCTTTCACCTTCAGAACTGCCTTAATTCTACATGGGATTGATTCAACAAGGTGCTGAAAGCATTCTTTAGAAATGTTGGCCCATATTGATAGGATATCATCTTGCAGTTGATGGAGTTGATGTGGGATGCACATCCAAGGCAAGAACCTCACGTTCCACCACATCCCAAAGATGCTCTTTTGGGTTGAGATCTGTTGACTGTGGGGGCCATTTTGGTACAGTGAACTCATTGTCATGTTCAAGAAACCAATTTAAAATGATTCGAGCTTTGTGACATGGTGCATTATCCTGCTGGAAGTAGCCGTCAGAGGATGGGTACATGGTGGCCATAAAGGGACTGACATGGTCAGAAACAATGCTCAGGTAGGTCGTGGCATTTAAACGATGCCCAATTGGCACTAAGGGGCCTAAAGTGTGCCAAGAAAACATCCCCCACACCATTACACCACCACCACCAGCCTGCACAGTGGTAACAAGGCATGATGGATCCATGATCTCATTCTGTTTACGCCAAATTCTGACTCTACCATCTGAATGTCTGAACAGAAATCAAGAATCATCAGACCAGGCAACAACGTTGTGGCTTCACAAATGCTTTGCTGCATACCTCGGTTGTAACGAGTGGTTATTTCAGTGGTTATTTTTGCTCTTCTATCAGCTTGAATCAGTCGGCCCATTCTCCTCTGACCTCTAGCATCAAGAAGGCATTTTAGCCCACAGGACTGTCACATACTGGATGTTTTTCCCTTTTCACACCATTATTTGTAAACCCTAGAAATGGTTGTGTGTGAAAATCCCAGTGACTGAGCAGATTTTGAAATACTCAGACCGGCCTGTCTGGCACCAACAACCATGCCACGCTCAAAATTGCTTAAATCACCTTTCTTTCCCATTCTGACTTTCAGTTTGGAGTTCAGGAGACTGTCTTGACCAGGACCACACCCCTAAATGCATTGAAGCAACTGCTATGTGATTGGTTGATTAGATAATTGCATTAATGAGAAATTGAACAGATGTTCCTCATAATCCTTTAGTGAGTGTATGCGTGTTTGTGTCATTATACCTTCAGTATAGAGTTGTCCTGACGTGTGTTTTTGGTGTTGTATCCCTCCAATAGGCAGCGCCGTGTGGTGCTTCCTGAACCAGCAAACTCAGCCAAGTTCAAATCAGCAAAACCAAGCTGTGTGACACACACATTGCATCAATGCCAGTGATCTGGTAGAAAACGTTGCCATAATCCACAAATAAACAGAGCTTACCTTTGCAAATGTCTTCCCACCTTTCAGCTCCTTCATAAAAGAAACACACCAAAACGTATTCAATCCAACACAGAAAAGAACGAAAGAGTTTATTCTTAGAGCCCAATTTAAGAATCAGAACAATCGTTAAATCGTACCTTTCTTACAGATATCCGAAAAACACAAGGTTCCAGCACCCCTGTCCCTGCATTAGCACACAACTTGCATAAGAAGGAGAATCTTTTCTTCCATTTAACACAATTCACCAGAACTGGCTCTCTGCAGAAGAAACCACAAGAAAAACAGTGAGACATATAACATGATAAAACAATAGAACTACAGATAAATAGAAGGATAGTCAGATGATAGATAGATATAGATAGATAGATCCTGAAAGTTTATTTGAAAGATGCACAATGTAAATAACTATAACAAATAACTGTACATAATACATGTACAATTTATGCAATAAAAGGTTTTCATTTAATAAACAAAGATATGTTTCTATTTTTTTTTTTTTTACAAATATGAAATGGATCAGTGGAAGAAAAAATACAGTGTGTAACACTAACAGGATAAACATTTCTCAGACAGTCTTAGCTCAAGTACACAAGAAAATATCTTTAAGCAACACAATTAACGTTACCGCTGCAATATTAGGGAAAGTGATTTAGAAAAAGTATTTTATAATAATGTCTTTAAGCAGGAAAGGGCTTAAACAGCTTGTTATGTCTGTTACGACATACTTGTTCTGGTTGTGAAAGACTACATTCTGTAATCAATATTTCGGAATAATGCTTCCTAGGAAGCAGCTGTGTTTCTCACTGACTTTATATAGTCAGTGTTGTACTGTACTCATTCATAAGGCTCTTCCCTTGTTTGTCCTGAAAACACAGTACAAATAATGCCACGGCAATGAAGTAAAACTGCATCTGCAGAGTTCAAATGGAGGAACGTGAGGGAATGCTAACGTTACCATTTTGTAAAATGCATACTGTTGCTGTAACAAGTGAGTCCAGCCTTGACGGTTAAAAGAAGGAAAAGAATTGCTAATCAGACACTGCCCACTTTTGTCCTGTTGAGTCCATGTAGAACACACCCCCCTCTTAGCGGCCAGCCACATGTTTCTCTATATAATAAAATTTCAAATTCTACATTGCCTTTTTAATATCTCAAAATTAGGCAAGCTAATAAAAAGATGAATTTTAATATCAAAAGCAACACTCTTCTTAATCAGTCATACACTCATAACCTATTGTTTTACATTATTATTATATTTTAAACATAAATAACTGTTGTCACTTCAAATAATAAAATATAATAAAAAAATCCAGCATGACTTGCGATTGTCTCACCTCGAAGACTCCTCTGAAAAGCCACCGTCCGTAAGTCGAACCTTGCAGAACAGAACTCCATTCACAATTGGGACAGATGACAGCTCCTCCAGCTCCACATCCACTTTAAACTTAAACCTTTTCTTTTTCATCATGATGAACGCCATTAATCAAATATGTGAAGGACGACAGCTTTTCTTTTACACTCCCGGAAAAGGTTTCCAAAGAGAGGAACACAAACTCCTTGACGCGCGCCTTGAATGCATTAGTCAGTGTGCGTGCGAGACGATAGTTTTTTAAATGGTGCTGTGTGTGAACTGCGTCGAAATGACAACTGACGACACTTTAAAATAAAAGTCCTTCCAAAACGGTTCATAGACAGAATAAATATACGTGATAATTTATTTGTAATATTTGGATTATTTATGTAAAATATTTTGTACCAATTACATGAAACTTATTTGTCAAGTTACGTGTGCCAATGCACAATGCATAAAGTGTATGGGGAAAGTAGACAGCTGGAATTAATAATATATGGGTATAATATAATATAATGGATATACATGAAGTTTGCACAAATCATATTTCATATTGTTAACAAAAAAATACATGAATACTGTATAAAGGTTGTATGATTGTGCATGTGCATAACATACAGACTGAATTGATTACCCAATCAATTTTGTAGTTGAGAAAAATTTGTAGAATTTAATGTTTTACTCTGTACAATGTAGAATCTGTTATGTGTTTTCCCCAATATGTGTTTGTATTATGTTTGATGTAAAATGTCATTTTAAGCTTTTAAGAAAGTTAAATAAAATAAAAAAATAAAATAAAAAAAAACTTTCTAGTTGAGAGAAAGAGTGATTAAAATGGTTGCCCGACAGAGGGAGACAACTCATCACGAAAGGATTACTTAGCCTGTGAACATTCAGATTACCGGTCATCATAATCAAACATAATCCCCCTTTTATCATACTTTAAAATAATAATGTTTAAGAGGGTGGTTTAATTTTTCAATAAAGGATGGGTTTGAAACAAGCAGGATTATGCAGTATAGTGTTGTGGGCATAAACAACATTAAAACACTGAATAACATTAGCAGCTAAAAACTAACGAAAACTTCTTTCAAGCCGTTGACTTCTTTCAAGCCGGTCACTTCCATGACCAATCACAATCCACGCCAACAAATAATTAGAAACGACTATCAGCCAATCAGAAGCGAATTTTTTCTGGCGCCTAATCGGCACCCGTAGCAGCCTCGTTGGCGCAGTAGGCAGCGCGTCAGTCTCATAATCTGAAGGTCGTGAGTTCGAGCCTCACACGGGGCAGGTAGTGTTTTTTTGTCGTGATTTTAGAATTACGGAGTTGATGTAAATAAGTTTGTAAATATTGCACGGATTATATTTGACCATTTCAATAATTAGAGTAGATCATGCAGGGAAACTTTGTCAATATTATACAACAAAATACAGATAAAGTAGGCTACTTTGAGACCGGAAAATATAAATATTTATAAATACAAATATAACGTTTATATATTGTTTTGCCCTATCTCTTACACACACACTGGTTTATGTTTCCTTTCCAGTGTTTTACTTTATTGTAAATTCTGACAGCAGTAGACTCTGAGAGAGAGAGAGAGAGAGAGAGAGAGAGAGAGAGAGAGAGAGAGAGAGAGAGAGAGAGAGAGAGAGAGAGAGAGAGAGAGAGAGAGAGAGATTTCTGAATGATTCCACATGCTGAATGAATTCAGTGACACTCTCAGTGAACGGGACGCAGGCAGGGGCGCTTGTTTTCCCCGTCTCGGTTTGGGAAGGAAGGACTCATCCAGCCGGTGCAGCATGTGAAAGTCCAACACTGGCGACTTCCTCCTCTTTTATTTTTACACATTTTGCAGCCAGTTTCTGATCAGAGATAAGCAATTCCACCGCACTGATATCTCCACTGAAATGCCGTCATGTCACGCGTGAATGTCAGCTGGATTATTGCGGTGCTCGCGGTGGAGCTCGCGACACTGTCCGCCGCGCGCGCTCACAGCTGTCACGAGGTGAAAACGGCGTTTCAGGTGCGTCAGATCGGCCAGCTGAAATGGGTGCCTGAAACACCTGCTACAGGTGAGTGTGAACGCAACAGGCTGTCGTTTGTCATGACTGTGACGAAACTGTATTGTGGATGTTCCTGCTTTGGCTGTTCTAGCTTACTACATCTGCTTGTCTTGTAAAATAAGTATCCTCTAGCCTACATGATTTTTCTCAGATTTAGAACCTCATAGCTTCTTATGTCATTGTGTTTAATTATTTATCTTACTTGCTTTGACTAGTGTTATTGAAGCAACAATATGTGATTGATTACTTAGCCTATGTATTTTGGCAGAAATAGATCTGTATGTGTAATTACTATAGTAAATATGTGTATTGTGGTGAGCAACCAGGTGCTGTGGTTGCTATATTCCTACAGTGTGCTCTATTGATGATGAAGGCATTCTTTAGGTACCACAAATTTTTTTTTTTTTTTGCTTGGGAAATTCTGCAGTTGTGCAGAAGATGTGCAGATCAAATTTCACAAAACAATTGCAGTTTGATCACAAGGAACTTTAAAGGTAGTACCTAAAGGATGTGTCTCAATCAGCATTTGTTGCATGCACTAGTCCATTTCTAGTGCTGTCAAATCGGTTCCTGAGTTACTGAAATATTTCCATGCTAAAAATTCCCTCAGTGCCCTGTTAAAAACCATCAGCTGCTCACTGTATTTACTTACTAGAAATGTTATCATGTCTCTGCATGTTTCATGGTGTTTTTTAAACTTTAAACAGTTCACCCCCCCCCCTCCCCACACACACACCACTTAATGCATATTGACATACATTAGATGTGATATCTGAATAGAATATTCATGTAGAGTCAAGTTCCCTAATCAGCCATATTATTGGAATTTAAGTGTAACGTTTTCTTTCTTCATTTCGCTGCTCCTGACAGGGAAATGTAATTTCCATTCAATAGGTTTTACAAGTTCATTGACTGATTTTTCCACCCACAAAGTCAATGTTAATGCCCAAGTGTGCTAATGCTCTCGACTCTGCACTGTAAATAATATGTCTTGGTAAACTTCAGACAAGGATCGTGTCAGGTTAAGGGAATCAGTGTTGACAGATGCATTCAGCCAGCTGCTTTGACACATGACTCAGCGAACAGGAGCGAGCCTTGCTGGAATGACATCGGTCGAGCTCACCGGTTACAAATACTCAGGGCCAAAGTTCTCACGGTGCACGAACTAACAGCCAAGTCCGGTTCTCCAATGACAGGGATGCCCATCCTGCTCCTAGAGATCAACCTACCTGCATAGTGCATAGTGCAGTAATCAAATACTAATCATACACACTTGAACCAGGTGATCGAGGTCTTAAGGTTCACTTGAAAAGGTGGCTGCTGAAATAGAAGCCTTGATATCTTGTCAGTAATTTGCTTGACAGTAGGTCTATCATTCATTTTGTCTATCTTTTTTCCATCCATCAATCCATTGGGACAGTGCATGTCAATAAACAAACATGGAATATGCATGTAAACATGCCGGATTGTAGCAACAAGCTAATTTACATCTGAAGTCCCACGTACTAAGATCACACAGGTCACAAAAAATTACAGAAAAAATACTATCTATTATTCATTCTGTCTATCGTTCCATCCATCTGTCCATCCATCCGTCCTCCCATCTCTCCATTCATTTATCAATCAAAACTTTATCACAGACTCAGGGTCCAATTTTTAAATTACCCAACATATAACAAAACAACAATGCCTTACAAATACACAAGTGCCAGTGTTTCCACAATTTTGACTATGTATAGTTGCTAAACCTTATATTTGACCCATGATATAGACCCATGTCTATATAAGGTTCAAACCTTATATTTGAACCTTATATAGACCCATGATATCGTAATTTTTAGAAGCGTTAAGTCGGCAAATCAATTTGTACGTAAGATTCCGTAACCCAGCTTGGTAACACTTTACTTGAAGGGGTGTGCATAAGACTGACATGACACCTTTATAATCATGGCATGACATTTGTTATGAATATGAAGGAAGTTTTATGCATGTTTGTGACAACTGTCATTAAGTGTCATTCGCTCAGTTATGACATTTTTAATGCAAATTTGACATTGTGTGAGATGTCTTTGTTATGACACCTTGACATAAACCAATACATCATGACCTGTCAGTGTCTTTGTCATGACAACTAGACATTACTAAGACAACACAACCGGTCATAAACATGACATAGCAGATGAATTATCAAACTTAAGAAACCACCTAGCTTTATTGGTTAACATTACATTAAACATGTCATGTGGTTGGTTTTGACATTGGCTGTCATGAAGCCATTATAACATTTTAATGACAAATTCAATTAGTACCACTGTATTCTTGACACACTTATAATGGCCTCATGACAGCCAATGTCAAAGCCAACCACATGACAGTTTAACTTAATTTTATGTCAAGTTGTCATGACAAAGACACTGACAGGTTATGATGTATTGGTTTATGTCAAGATGTCATAACGAAGACATCTTAAAAAATGGTATATTTGCATTCAAAATGTCATTATTGAGTGAAAGACACTTGACAGTTGTCATAAAACATGCATAAACCCTATTTCATATTCAAGACATTTGTCATGTCACTCTTATGCACACCCCGTCAAGTAAAGTGTTATCCACAGCTTTATATGTGTTAACTCCCAAACTTGCAAACATCTCACTTGCACTATGCCATCTAGGTCTCCTTAATAAAATTCTCATTGCATCATTATATGCTACTTGAAGCCTCCGAAAGCTGGATGTTCTATAATTTGTCCTTAAATGGGCAGTATAAAGATATGCTTTAAACAGATGTCCTTACATGTATCTTTCCATCCATCTTTCTTTTTGTTGTAATTTTATAATTCTGTCTTTTATCACTTTTTCTGTATTTTGAAACTGTTTTTCCTTCAACTTTCAAATAACCTTTAAGATTTGTCATGAAAAATGTATCATTTCCTGTTGATTTTTTTTCTTCAATCAGTTTGAATTCAGTCAATGTGTTTGTTCAGACAAGGTGCGTGTATAACACCTGTTCTCTGACTGAGACAGATTTATATTTCAAGTTGAGTTGCAAATGACCTCTTGGAGCCCTGAAGAGTGACAGATGGCAGATTTTCCAAGATGGTGTTGATTAGGGTTAGCTAAAAGTTGAATGCCAAGTTTTCACAAATTAAGCACTTAATTAGATTATATAAAATTTTAAAATACTTTTTATTTATTACATGTTGTTCTCACAATGGCAGTATTTATACTTTTTTCCCTTCTCTTTATCTTTAAAAATGTCCTTTATAAAAAGCCTACTGCTTATAGGCCTATATGTTCAGAAGGTCTTCCAGGTTTGTTGAACTGCACAATCAGACCAGCCAGTCATGAGCATTTGATAACTGGATTTACAGAAATCATTTCACCTAAGTGTTTTCCAAACATTGCAACAATAATCAACTCCTGGGAAACCCTGATGTAAAATATTATTAATGCACTTCATGTTGTTGCTAGCAAAGAATGGAATATATATTCTTTCTCTTTGTATTTTTATATCAGGGTAAAAGATTATCCTTTTCAAATCAATAGAATGAACAAGTTGGGTCAAAAGTAATCTTGTTATATTACCTGAAATGTGCAATGTGATGCATTGGAATTATAATTTGGAATCTGTAACTGATTACAATTCGTAAGTAATCTACCCAGCAGTGGTGATGAGCAATAGCCCCCTTTTAGGTAAGGTCTAGATGTGCAGAAGAATTTGAGCATCATAAGAGTCTTAATGAGTCTGGTTTCTCGGTAGACAACTTGCGCTCTGGTACAATTTCTCCTGTTTATTTGACCGAATGCTGATTTGTAGAGTTAGCATAGAAATCGTTCCTGTGGGAGACAAGCCCATACCGCAGCAAAACCATAATTACAATATATCTCAGGTTAGCGCTTTTTGGCTTCTTCCTAAGATCATTAAAGTCTTTATTTCCTTTTTTGTGGTCCACAAAATAAAAGTTTAAAGTGAGCCAAATGATTAAATAAGTTCTAAATGGCTTTTGTTGCAGATAGACTGGAATTCTCATTTTCTGAGTGAGTTTCTCCTATAAGCAGAGACGTAGAACTCTCAGATGAAGCTTTGTGCTGCCAATAAATAAACATTGATATTGTTGAAAACTTGAAAAGTTCACACAAAAAGGAAAACGCTGTCATCATTTGCTTAACCTCCTGGCATCATTTACTTAACCTCCTGGCATGTCAAGTCAAGTCAAGTCAAGTCACATTTATTTATATAGCGCTTTTTACAACATAGATTGTTTCAAAGCAGAGATAACAAGTAAGTTCAGTGATGTTTTTATTTTTGTTTTGTAAACACTATAACTGATGGGCAGAAACTCAAGACACCTAATTATAGTGACCAGTACTTTGGGATACTGAGGCCATTCTGAAAAAAAAAACATCCACCCACCCTTCCATCCATCCATCCACCCATCCATCCATCCACCCACCCACCCACCCACCCTTCTGTCCATTCATCCATCCATCCATCCATCCACCGACCCTTCCATCCATCCATCCACCCACCCTTCCGCCCTTCCACCCTCCCATCCGTCTGTCCATCCATCCATCCATCCATCCATCCATCCATCCATCCATCCATCCATCCATCCATCCACCCGTCTGTCCATCCATCCATCCACCCTTCCATCTGTTCATCCATCCATCCATCCATCCATCCATCCACCCGTCTGTCCATCCATCCATCCACCCTTCCATCTGTTCATCCATCCATCCATCCATCCATCCATCCACCCTTCCATCTGTTCATCCATCCATCCCTCCATCCACCCTTCCGTCCGTCCTTCCACCCATCCATCTATACATCCATCCACCCATCCACCCACCCATCCTTCCATCCGTCCATCTGTCCTTCCATCCACCCACCCACCTTTCCATCCATCCATCCATCCATCCATCCATCCATCCATCCATCCATCCATCCATCCATCCACCCACCCACTCACCCACCCTTCTATCCATCCATCCATCCATCCATCCATC